CAGGGTGTTTCTGCCTATTCCAGGGGATCTCTGTGTATTCCAGGGGATCTCTGCGTATTCCAGGGTACCTCTGCGTATTCCAGGGGATCTCTGCGTATTCCAGGGCACCTCTACGTATTCCAGGGGATCTCTGCGTATTCCAGGGCATCTCTGAGTATTCCAGGGGATCTCTGCATATTCCAGGGCGTCTTTGCGTATTCCAGGCGATCTCTGTGTATTCCGGGGGATCTCTGTGTATTTCGGGGTGTCTCTGTGTACTCCAGGGCATGTCTGTGTATTATAGGCATCTCTGTATCTTGGGCGTGTATAACGTGGGGTACTTCTGCATTGTGGGATATCTCTATGTTACAATGTGTCTGTATTACACAGTATCTCTATTATGGGGTATCTGTATTATGGGGTATGCCTGGCTTTACAGGGTATCTGTGATAACATGTCTGTATGGGGCAGCTGTGTGTTAGGGAGTTTGGGGTTTTGTGTACTAAGGTATGACTACACCTCTTCATTTCCTATATTTTCGTAGTGGGGCATTTTTTATTGGAGCCTCTTATTCTTTTTTTTTTTTTTTTTTTTAAGATTTTATTTGACAGAGAGAGACACAGCGAGAGAGGGGACACAAGCAGGGGGAGCGGAGAGGGAGAAGCAGGCTTCCTGCCGAGCAGGGAGCCCGGTGCGGGGCTCGATCCCAGGACCCTGGGACCATGACCCGAGCCGAAGGCAGACGTTTAACGACTGAGCCACCCAGGCGCCCCTGGAGCCTCTTATTCTTGATTTGTAAAAGTTCTTTGCTTATTATGGATAGATAATGGGTAGGAATGCTTTGTGAAGTATGTTCTAATTTTTTTCTGGTTTATTATTTCTTTAAATTTGCTTTTTTGTTTCCTAAATGAAAGTGTCACTTTTTTTTTTTTTTTTTAAGATTTTATTTATTTAGGGGCACCTGGGTGGCTCAGTCGTTAAGCGTCTGCCTTCGGCTCGGGTCATGGTCCCAGGGTCCTGGGATCGAGCCCCGCATCGGGCTCCCTGCTCGGTGGAGAGCCTGCTTCTCCCTCTCCCACTCTCCCTGCTTGTGTTCCCTCTCTCGCTGTCTCTCTCTGTCAAATAAATAAAATCTTTAAAAAAAAAGATTTTATTTATTTATTTGACAGAGAGCACAAGCAGGGGGAACAACAGGTAGAGGGAGAGGTAGAATCGGGCTCCTTCCCCCCGCTCCCCGAGCAGGGAGCCCGATGCGGGGTTGGATCCCAGGACCCTGGGATCATGACCTGAGCCAAAGGCAGCCGCTTAACCAACTGAGCCACCCAGGTGCCCCTAAAGTTTGTGGGGTTTTTTAAAGATTTTATTAATTTATTTGAGAGAGAGAGCGTACAAGCGGGGGTGAGGGGCAGAGGGGGAGGGACAAGCAGACTCCCCACCGAGGAGAGAGTCCAACATGGGGCTCGATCCCAGGACCCCGAGACCATGACCTGAGCCGAAGGCAGATGCTTCACCAACTGAGCCACCCAGGCGCCCCTGAAGTGTCACGTTTCTATATAATGAATTCTGTTGGCCTGTTCTTCCCTAACTTCCACACTGCTGACGTACTTGGAAGGGCCTTCTCCGCCCTGAGTTTTCAGAAGCAGGCACCCATATTTTCTTCTAGGCCTTTCCGTGGCACTGCTGTTTTACACTTAAGCCCTCCAGTAGCCTGGATTTCTTTGGGTTGGTGGGGGGCAGCCACCGTTTCCCTAGATGGCACCCGTGGTCAGGGCAGCCCTGAGGCAGTGGGGAAGGCTTTCTGATCAGCAGCAGGGAGGCCCCTTTCTGGGCATCTGAGGAACGAGGGGCCCAGCAGTGCCGGAGGCTAGTCAGGCCACTAGGGCTGGCCCAGGGCAGGGCTCTGTCCTGGGGCCAGTGCCCAGGCAGTGCCATGAGGACCCAGGCCCTATGAGGTGCTCCATTTGGCAGAGGGGACACCCCACACTGCTGGTGGTCATGTGTGCTCTGCTCTCTCTACAGCCCCCTGGCCCCCGAGGTTGGACTGCACTGTGATACTCCCACCATGAGGACGCTGCTCAGCACGCTCTGGCTTGCTCTGGCCTGCAGCTCTGTTCATACTACTCTGTCAAAGTCAGATGCCAAAAAGGCCGCCTCGAAGACACTGCTGGAGAAGGTAGGGGTGTTCTGGGGGTTGGCCTCTTCCTGCCCCCTGGAGTCGCGTGCCGAGGCCTGTGATGCAGCGCTCTGTAAGCCGGGAGGCTGGGGCCTTGGCCTCCTCGGGCAGCTGGCCAGTATTGCCCGGGGCTTTGGCCAATGGCCTGAGAGGGAGCAGCTTCTGGAGAAGGGGCTGAGGGTGTGCCCACCCCCACTGGCCCAGATTTCGGCCCTCACACCGCCTCTGCTTCTTCCCATGGCCATACTCTTGTCCTGCCTTGCGGAGCTCTATGATCTTAGTGGTGGTCGAGTGGATCAGACAAGAGACATGCCTTTGCGCCATTTTTCTGGGACGGGAGAGTGAGTCCTCAGGGACTGTCAGCTCCTCAAGGGTGGACCTTTCCCTGTGGTCTCCGGTCAGCAGCACTGTGTTGATCCCATGACACAGTGCCTGGCTGATCAGAGCACTGTTGCTGTTCCTCGGGGTCCCATGTCCTGCCTGTGGACAGCAGGCCTTGACCATTTTGTCCTGTTGCTTTTATTTCAGACTCAGTTTTCAGAGAAGCCTGTCCAAGACCGGGGTCTGGTGGTGATGGACCTTCGGGCTGAGGATGTGGTTCTGGAGCATCGTAGCTACTGCTCAGCAAAGGCCCGGGAGAGGCACTTTGCTGGGGACGTCCTGGGCTACGTCACTCCAGTAAGCCAGGCCCTGGGGCAGATAGGGAGGTCCCGAGGGCAAGGTGGCCACTGGGGTCCTCACCTCCCAGGGTTGCTGCCGTGCAGGTACATGGGGAGAGAGGCCTCCCGAAGAAGTGACAGCCATCTCAAGGGTTTTCTGGGGGCTTGTCCCACGTGGCCCAGGTGGTCCTGTGGTGTCTCTAGGGCCCTCTGTCCACAGCTGCAAGTGCACTCATCTGTTCTCCATTTTCTGCCAGTGGAACAGCCATGGCTATGATGTTGCAAAGGTCTTCGGGAGCAAGTTCACGCACATCTCGCCCGTGTGGCTACAACTGAAGCGGCGGGGTCGGGAGATGTTCGAGGTCACAGGCCTTCACGACGTGGACCAAGGTTCTCACGTTGCTGCTCATCTGTGCTCGTCCTGAGGGCCCAGAAGGGTGTGAGTGCATGTCTGCATGTGTGTGAGTGTGAGGGTGTGACTCTATGTCTGGGAGTGTGTATGTGCACGAGGTGAGACTGTCTGGCATTGGCCCAAACCCTGTCCCTTTGGCAGTTTGTACACAGGGTCCAGGGAGGAGGTGTCCAGGAGGGCCTGGCTATCTTGGCAGCCACCTCCGTGAGCACGCATCCAAGTTCACAGAGCCTTCCCCCTTTGGGGTTTGGAGAGAGGGTGTGTTAGCTGATTGTGGTGTTCTGAGACCCAAAACCATCCCTCGATGCTGGGAGGGCATGTCAGAGGACACAGGCTGGGCAGCACTGGGACCTGGCCCTCAGGCACCCTTTAGCTCCAAGAAACAGTCCTAGCCGCCTTGGAGGCTACTTTTCTCTAGATGTGGCCAATGCCACCACTTTCTCCCCAGTGACCCAGAGGTCTGACCTGCCCTGGCTGCTCTGCAAGGGGAGGAAGAGAAGGAGGGGGCTGGACGCACAGATTCTCTCTTGCTGCCTCCCCTCTGCACGTCCATTGCAGGGGCCCCGGCATTTTCTTCCTTGGGGGTGGGCTGGGTCTTCATGTGTCCCTGCATCGACTGTCCTCTCCTTGTCCCACAGGGTGGTTGCGGGCAGTCAGGAAGCAGGCCAAGGGCTTACGTATTGGTAAGTCCACTGGGCCTGGACTGTCAGGGCACCCAGCCCTTAAGCCGCATGCTGTGAGATAGAGGCCCTGGCAGGGCCGGGCTGAGAGTGATGCCGGCCCTACCTGCCCAGTCCTGGAGCTCACAGGTGGCAAGGGTGCTCCCAAAGTACAGTGGGATTAGCAGGGGGTGGGGATTGGAGCAAGGGGACAGGTGACGGCTGAACAGGAGGAGCCCTGGTGGGTGGGGCCAGCTGGAGACCAATCAGGGTGGAAGACGGTCCGGCAGGAGCCAGGCGTGAGGAGCGGGCACCCAGAAACTTGGTGTGTGAGGGGGAAAGGGGTCGGCATTACCCAGCGCCCCTCCCTTACCAGGCCATGTGGGCGCTCAGCTATGTGGTCACTCTGCTGTGGTGGCGAAGGGCTGCCCTGAGGGTGGGGCCAAGTACAGAGGGGTCACAATCCCTGTGTGGGTCTATTCCCCAAGTGCCCCGACTCCTGTTTGAGGACTGGACTCATGAGGACTTCCGGAATGTCTTGGACAGCGAGGACGAGATAGAAGAGGTTGGCAAGACCATGGTCCAGGTGGCCAAGGTAAGGCCTGGCACTGCATGGGGTCAGCCCAGGCTGCCCTAGGCTCCCTCTTGACCACAGAGGTCCTCTGGGCTGGGAGGCTTCCCTTGGGCGATACCTGGCTGCCCACTGCCCTCCTGGCCCTTCAGGCCCCCAGGGGTTGGGGTTGGAGAGGCACACAAGTGGACAGGACACAAGAGGCCCAGCCCCCCTGCTCCTGGCTCCTCTGGGGACCTCCACACTGCGCCCTTCAAAGAGGGGCTTCGGGGCCTGCCATGACCTCACTGTGTGGGTGGCTGTGGCTGGCCCTCGGTAGCCTTCCCACCCACCCCTCTGGGCTCCTCGGACCCTCTCTGTCTGCCCTGTGCCTTTCAGAGCCAGCACTTTGACGGCTTCGTGGTGGAGGTCTGGAGCCAGCTGCTGAGCCAGAAGCACGTGTGAGTGGGCTCTGTGCTCTTCCTGTCCCCCTGGCGTCCTGGAGGAGGGTGGAGGAAGGACTGAGGGAGGGCCATCGTGGGGAGGGCCTTCTTCCCATGGTCTACACCCAGGGGCAGGGATGGCCCCGGAAGCAGCCGAGGGCCAGCGTCCGGCTCTGGCCGCACTGTTGCTTTGCCCGCCCGGACGCCTGCGTGGATGGTGAAGGGAGTGTGATAAGCATCCCCCAGGAGTGTGCTAGGGGGGACTGGCCCAGGTGGTGACGGCAGGGTCAGGCTTGGACGTGAGCAGGAGCCCCTCTGCTGAGAAGAGGTCCGCTGATGCCAGCCACCAAGTCATCTAGGACATGAGTCAGCCGCCCAGGCCTGCAGGCTCTGGGTGCTCCCCTCGTGGTGGCACCCACCCTGCCTGTGACCAGAGTGACCAGGCGGGGCGGGAGTGGCCATGTGTTGCCTGCAGCAACCACCACCTACTTCCATCAGGGACACGGGGGTCAGCCCCACAAAGGGCCGAGGGAGTCCCAAGCTGTGCTGCGCAGGGTGTCTTGGATGTTCGCGTGGCAGAGCGCTGGGGTAGCCCACGCGGTGCCGGGGGCAGCAGAAGCCGTCAGCCAGCCACCGCTGGCTCTGGAACCTCCCCTCCCTTTTCTGCTCGAAGCCTGAGTCCGTCCGTCCTCCCCCCGTGCCCCCGCTTCTCCATGCCTGCCTGCCCTAGCAGGGAGCACTGGGCTAGGGCTGCCCCCAGGGCGGCCCCCCTTCTGTCCTCCTGCAGCTGCAGGCCATTCTCTGCCCACTCAGAGGCGGTGTCCAAGTGCAGGTGGAAGGCATGCTGTTGGCTCTCATCTGTGCCTGGAGCCAGGCATGCCTGGGGGCTCCTTGCCCAGGGTTGGAGGGGCAGGCCTATCTGGGCAGCTGTGGTTCCCCCTGCACTTGGGCCCAAGCCCCTAGCCCTGGGAGGGCCATGAGGCCCAGTTTGGGCGGGGAGGATGGGTAGAGATAGTGCGAGCCAAGTTGAGGGGCTTCCTGTGTTTATCGGGAGCTAGCACAGGGCACCTGTGCCTGGGGTCCTGGCTCTCAGCCAAGAGACCCTCCTCACCTCTCCTCCCAGGCAACAGCCCTGACAAGGTGACTGTCCAGCACCTTCTGGAGGCGGAGCTGGAGACCTTCCACTGCACCTTCTCACCAGGCAGCTTCATTCTGCCCCGGCTTGCTGCAGGGGGTGGGCGCTTACCTGAGCCACAGCCAGGATATAGCAGGCCCATCCTGCTGCAGGGTGATGAGGGTGATGAGGGTGCGGCCAGCAGGGCAGTCGGGGGCCAGGTGGAGTGGGGTGGAGAGCAGCCAGGATGACAGATGGCTCTGGGCACATCGCCACCTGGGAGCCGTCTCCCAGGATGGAATGGGCCTGGTGGCAGCGAGGCACAACAAAAACATTTCACAAGGCCGTCCCCCCCGTCACCCTCACTGGGGCGTCTGACGAGGTGACCGAGGGCACTGTTCCTTCTCCAGAGGCCAGCCTGGAAAGGCCATTGTTGGCAGATGCTGTGGGGCACACAGCCTGCGTGGTGTGGGGGCACGGCGGCACAGCGTCGGCTTGACGCCCTGGACGCAGGCCCCCCGGGCCTCCCTCCCACAGAGGTCCTCTGGGGAGGAGCAGGTGGTCCGAGCAGTTGAAGCAGGCAGGGATGGTGCCCAGCTCCAGTGAGTAGCCCGGTCCCCTCCACACGTGCGCAGGGCACACAGGTGACCCCAGGTTCCCAGCTGGTGGGTGCTGCCCCAGGGGCACAAAACCACCCTTCCCTTCTCACAAAGACGCAGTCCTGGGGCCGTCCAGAAAGCCAGGACAGCCAGTGCCGGGCTGCAGACGCGACAGCTGTCGGCAGCAGGGAAAGGGGCGTGTGCTCTCCAAGGGCTTGACTGGAGCCCAGGCTGCCTCCTTGCAGGAGAGACTCCGCGCGCCAGGGCTCACTCCTGCCGAGCCGCGCTCCAGCAGTCAATACCCAGCCACCCTCCTCAAGGCATCCGGGGCCGCAGCCTTCCTCTGCACACTTGTGTGGAGGGGGGCCTGGAGGTGGGCACTGGCCCCATGCCCTGGCCATGCAAGGGCAGCCAGGACAGCCCTGCCATCCCCGCTGGTGAGAATCCCGTGCCTTAGCCCCTCTGATCTGCACTGTGCGTGAGGGGTGGATGCACTGGGCTCTGCAGACTGGGCCCAGGCCAGACTGAACACAGAGCGCAGCTTAGCCACCTGCGGGGCTCCTGGGCACCTGTCACTAGGTGGTCCTCGCTGCGTGGCATGAGGGGGATGGGGTGCCTGGAGCCGGCTTCGTCTCCATTCCACTGGTCGTACCTGCCACGCCTCTAGGGCCAGAGGAGTCCACGACTCCAGCTTCCTCTCTGTCCCCCACCTGGTGGCCCACTTCCTGTTGAGACATGCCCGTGCACAAGTGGGGAGTCCCGCCTGATGCCCACCCGCAGGTGTCCCTTCTGTGTGTCCCAGGGCGGAGGATGCCCCCCTGCCCTGCCTAGGACTGAGACAGACGGCTGTGTCTGGGTATCTTCCAGGCTGGGGGTGGCCACAGGAGGGGGCTGGGTAGTTGAGGCCAGTGCTTTGGGGTACCAGGCTGGGACTCCCCCACAGCACAAGGCCTGGTTGGTGGAGCTGTCCTCACTATTCTGGTCCTGGGGCATCTCTCAGGTGCTGTGTGGCACCCAGTAGGCCAGGTGGTGTTTCGTGGCCTGGGCTGACCCAGCCACCAGCAGGTCAGCATGCTGGGCACATGTGGGTCCTTCCCCACCCCCTGGGCAGGCTGTATGTCTGGGAGAGGCCAGAGGTGCTGGGGTGCTGCCCAGATGCCCCTTTGTTCCCCATGCCATTTTCGGTGACCCTGAGCGAGGAAGGACAGGGACCAGCCAAGTTCTGAGCAGGCCCAGTTTGGGTAGAGGGTGACCCCTGCAGGACTTGCTGGGCTGCCCTGGTGCTCAAGCGTTTGCACGGCGCAGGGCCACACTGGAGCCGTCCAGGGCACAAGGTGCCCATGAAGGGGCGCCTGCCCTGTAGTGGGTCTGGGTCAGGCCTCTCGACTTCCTGTTCTTGATCTCCTGGTTCTTTGCAGGGGCCTCATCCACATGCTCACCCACCTGGCTGAGGCCCTGCACCAGGCCCGGCTGCTGGCCATCCTGGTCATCCCACCGGCTGTCACCCCTGGGTAAGTTCCTTGCTCGCTGGGGGCGGGCAGCTCCGTCCCAGTCAGTAGCAACCCTGGGTGGGTAGACGCCGTGGGAGCTGGGGCTGGGGATCCATGTCAGCCACGGCGGCATGTCCTCGCACATCAGCAGCGGCAGGCTGCACCCTTCCAGCCGAGCGTTGGAAGATGTTAGGAGTTCCTCAGTTTGAGGGCCTGCATCTTTTAGACACTTCCACTCACTCTCAGGTGTAGCCCTGGAGCTTCACCACAACGCAGAGCTTTAGGGAATCCACACCTGCCGCATCTGTGGGAGGTTCGGGCTGTGTGGTCACACCCCCTCCTTCCCCGGCCTGGCTGCTCACCCTCCCCAGCCCAGTGAGGCAACCCTTCTGGAACCCAGGGCACAGGGAGGATGAGCAGCCCAGGCCCTAGTTGTTGGAGCTGTGTCCCCTCTGCCCAGGGTGTCACCCAGTGCCGGGCACCATGGATGCCCCAGATCTGTCGTGGGGACCAGGGGCAGACCCAAGGTCAGATAGCAGGGCTTTGTTGGGGAGGCGGCCACAGAGGTCTGAGTGGAACCAACTGGGGGCTTTGCTTGGCCTTTGCCAGCCCAGCCCCTTGGCCCACAGGTGCACGCTGGGCTCCCACCTGCTGCCCTGGGACGAAGCAACTGGCCCACCCTGTCGAGTGGCAGCAGGATGGGTGGGCCTCTGGGGCCTGTGATGTCCAGCTGTGTTCCCAGGCTGAGGGACTCACAGAAGCACCAGTTGGCCCATGGAGCCTGGCATGCCACCAGAGGCTATGGGCTGTGCTCCCACATGTCCTTTGCATTACCTGGGCATCAGCCTGCTATCTGAGTTTTCTCCCCATACTGTCAAGGTTCTCAGTCCACTGTGGGTGGGGAGGGTCCCACAGGCCAACACCTCCCTCCTGGAGCAGGGCAGGTGCTGCTCAACCCAGGAGGGAGCCCACCCAGAGCCCCACCTGTCTGTCCTTTATCCCACACATACGGATGTATGTGTGCACGTTGGTGAATGTATGTGGGGTGCACATGTGTCCTGAGGCTGGCTCCCAGGGCGGGGCCTCTCGTGGCTGCCTGAGGTTGGGGCTGGGACTGGGACTGGAAGAGGAGCTTTTCCTCTGGGAAGGCCAAGGCGCGGACCCTCTAGAGCCTGTGGGTTTGGCCACGGTGCTTGGCGCCCATTTCCTCCCAGTTTTTGTGGGTGGCTTGGGGACCAGGGGGTCCTTGGCCGGGTTGAGACCCTGTCATCCTTTGTGGTCAGGATCCATCTGTGGGATGGGTACAGGAGGTGCCCTCCGTGGAGGTAAGCTCCTCAGGGGCTGGGGGCATCTCCTCAGGCTGAGGGCTGGTGCTGTGCAGTCCCACAGCCAGAGGCAGGGCTGGGGCGCCCACCTGCAGCCCTCTGCACAGAGCCTAGCAGCTTCTGGCGCATGCGTAGGGCGGGGTGCAGAGGATATGCTGGAGAGTGTGGGAGGGTGCAGGGGCTGGACGCCCCTCAGGTCCACCCCCGGGCCTGGCCTGGAAGGGCAGGTGGACTGCGGTGGGGTGCATCTGTGCCCAGGGGTTCTTACCCCGAGCTCCTGGCACCTAGGCAGGACGTAGACGGCCCGCCCCTCACCCTGCAGCCACCAAGGGAGGATGCACCCTCCTCAGGCAGCTGAGGGGGATGTCCAGCAGGGGGACCATGGCCAGTGTGGTCAGGGCTGGGGGTGGGGGCTTCTGGGTGTGATGGGCTGTGGGCACGGCCGGGCCATGGGCCTGGGCTGTGCTGTCCCAGCTGTCCGCCCGCCCCGTGTTTCCCCCGAGGCTCTGGCTGGCGGTGCCCCACAGGAGCTCAGCTCACTGACAACATTGACCCCCCGACACACACTTGCTGACAGCTCGCCAACAGACAAGCCCGTAGATGGCTCTTGGCGTTTTCTGCAGCAGGGCGCAGTCGTGCTCCTCACTCACCGCGCCGCGGCTGGTGCGCAGGACAATAGCGTGCATGCGATGCCTTTTCTCTGCTGTGGGCCTGTGTCTGGGACTCCTGGCACAGGCAGCCATGCTGACCTTGAGCCCTGCCTCCAGTGGAGCGTGTACTCAGCTTCACACACAGATGGAGACACTAGCTCCAGGTGGAGGAGCCTGGGGTTGAGCCGGCCAGAGGCTGTCAGGGGCTTGGGCCACCAGGCCCGCGGGGAGCCGACGTGGGTGCCCTGATAGCGAGAGTATGGTCATGACACCTGCCTTGCACACGCTGTGGGGGCCGCCCTGTGGCTGGTGGCAGGGGCCAGTGGCCACGCACAGAGCCTGCACTGACCCCACGGGGGTTGGCCACGGGAGGGCTGGTCAGGGGTGGGACTTGGGGTTACCACCGATAGGTGGCCGGTCTTGGTGTCTGGGGGAAGATCGAGGGGTGCAGTGTCAGCTACAAGCATGTGGCCACGGGACTAGGGAGATGGGACAGGATCCTCTCTGGGGAAGAGACCAGTCGGCACCATGAGAGGTGGGGTCCCTAGCAGGTTGGGGTGACTGACAGTGGGGCTCAGCCCCAGACATGGCAGCCGGTCAGGGTGATGGACGAGGGAGGCGTCCACCATGTGGGAGTGAAGCAGGAGGGGTGAGGGTGGAGGTTTGGGAGTCCTGGGGAGGGCGGAAGCCTTGGAGGCATGCAGGCTGGCAGCGGTGGGGTCTCCGAGTAGAGGGGCCTGCGTGGCTGCCAGCCTTCTAGAAAGGAGGGCTGCCCATGGCTGGAGAGAAGGTGACTCAGCCAGAAGCATCTGGCAGACCAGGGCCATCCCAGCAGGAGGGGTGTGGGAGCCTGGCTTGTGGCAGGAGGCTGGTGCCCGTGTGGAGGATGGGCCCAGAAGAGCTGGATGCCCCAGGAAGGGTGTGGTGGGCATGGGAGGGTGGGACTGTAGGACAGACTTCACAAAGTGGAAACCACCTCTGACAGGGCAGCCCCTGAAATTCGCAGAGGAGGAGAGGCTCAAGGAGTCGTGCCTGACTTGAGCCTGCTCCAGACTACTCCAGCAACCCTCCCTAAACTGTGGACTTCTCAGGGCAGGGTATTAACGGAGAAGGGCCTCCCCGACCCCCGTGGCCCTCATCAGGAGTGTCTGCTCTGAGCACCAGCAGGCCCGGAGAAGGCAGGCCTTATGCCTCATGGAGTGGGTTTGCTAGTGGGCCTCCTGGGGACCTCCCCCAAGCTCATTTCCTGCTGCCCCATGCCTGCCGGAGTCCTGCCCCTGGCTAGCCTTTCCTTCACACCTGGTTCTGGCCCCTCCAGGACCCTGGGTGGGGTCCCCTCTCCCAGTTGAGTAGGAAGGTTTCTGGCACCAAATGCTCTGCGGAAACCACCAGGCACTGCAGGGACCAAGACATGGGACTAAGGGGTGTGCCCCCCCCCGCCCACTAGACCGCCTCACAGCCGCCCACACCCTGCCTCCCCTCCTGAGCCACTGAGTCCGGCAACGGCAGGCCTAGGTGTCTGGGTTCTTATGTGAATGTCCCACCTGGAGATGGGTGAGCCTTTGAAATGGGAAGCATTTTCCCAGAACCCACGTGCCCACTGTTCTTGTGCTTCCCCAGGGCTGAGGCCTGGAGGGTACGAGATGTGTTCGCAAGCCACCTGTGACCCATCTTCTTTCTGCTGGGGCCTGGCATCTTCCGGCCCACTCTGGGGGGCTTGTCCCCATCAGGGAGTATGGCTGTCCTGGCCCAGCAAAACATCTGCCCCCAGATGTGTCCCTGAGCACCCCGTTGTATCTGATGCTCCTCGTTGAGGCCATTGTCTGTTGGCACTGCTTATCTTCAGGTCTTGTTGGTGCCCCGTGTCTCTGCGGGCCCTGGGCCTGGCATCCTGCCTGCTCCCCCCAAAGGCAGCTGGAGAGGCTCTGCTCTGGGTTTGAGTGGGGCTGCCCTGAGACAGAGTATCTCAGGGTCACCTGGGTCCCATGGAATGGATGAATGTCTCTGAGGTCCCTGCAGTGGGACACACTTGCCCAGCGTTTCCAGGGTGCAGGCTGAGAAGAGGGGTCCTGTCTCTACTCACGATGTGGAGAGTCCCCCTGGGGATCTGGCAGTCTTAGGGGCTGCTGCAGGCAGAGCAGACAGGCTAGCAGACGGACTACCTGGGGGAATGGGGCCATCCCGGAGCTGGGCTGATCTCGCCCTCGGATGCATGGTGGGGAGGGCTGGGACACGGCGAGAAATGAGCCTTTGCTTGACCGCCAACACTGGGCTTGATCTGCCGGCCTTCTCGGAATGTGGCCCTGACTTAGCCGCGGGCTGTGCCCTGGAACCGAGTGACCAGTTACTTTCCAGGGAAAGTGACCTGCAGCCCTCCCAGAGTGGAGGGAGGGAGGGGCATGGTCTGGGCGCCCCACAGCCAGCTGGCTGGGTCCTCAGGTGGACTCGGGTGCCAGCCGGGGACGGGGCTGGCTGGGCTGTGAGAGACGGGTGGTGGTGGACGTGCGCATCTTGTTGCAGGACCGACCAGCTGGGCATGTTCACACACAAGGAGTTTGAGCAGCTGGCCCCCGTGCTGGACGGCCTCAGCCTCATGACCTACGACTACCCCACAGCACAGCAGTGAGTGTGGGCACCAAGGGCCCAGCGGGTTCCATGGCCTGGCACAGAAATGCTCGCCTCCTCTGGGGCCCGGACACTGGACAGGCAGGGGGCAAGGCCTGGTTTGCCACACTGCTGTCAGCTCTTGGCTCCAGGGACGTGGGGGCCTGGCCCACAGTTGCCCCTGCATTGGGCAGCCTTCACGTTTCCGGGGCGGTTGAGGGAGGGCAGAGGACCGCCCTTGTGGGAACACCGTCCTGGGGTGTCCATCTCTGCCAGCATAGTGGCCGCCGCCACTGCGCCCGCCGTGTTGCCAACGAGAAGGTGCCCCTGTGGGCGGGGTCACAGTGCTGCCCACTGCTGCCTCTGTCCACCGCAGAGGCCCGGGTCCAGCTAGAAGGCACCGCAGGAGGCCTGGGTCTGCTGCCCTCCCTTCCCCCTGCCACAGCCTGCGGTGCCCAGAGTGCGTGGCCTGAGGCCTCGGCCTGCTGCTGAAACCCACTGCTCCCTCACCCCCGCAGGCCTGGCCCCAATGCACCATTGTCCTGGGTTCGAGCCTGCGTCCAGGTCCTGGACCCCAAGTCCAAGTGGCGCAGCAAGATCCTCCTGGGCCTCAACCTCTACGGCATGGACTATGCAGCCTCCAGGGACGCACGTGAGCCTGTCATCGGGGCCAGGTGAGCCCAGGGCTCCCCACCATGCAGCGCGGCCCCCTGTGCTGTCCTGCGTCCCAGGCCCTCGTTGCTGGGGGTCTGTGAGTCTCCTGGAGGTGGAGGCTGAGAGCTGGGGAGGGGCCGGGCAGGGCTGAGCCTGTCAGGTTGGGGGGCGGGACAGGCCCTGAGGCTCCACCCCATCCACAGGCATGCGGACTGCCTTCCCAGCGCGAGTGGCACGGAAACTTCATTTGGCGTTGATTTTTTGAAAGATATTTTTGCTGAGTCTGTGATCCTGGCTTTTCCTGTGTCCATCTTCCTGCTGTGACCTGTCCGTTGGGGCAGTGCCTGGCCCAGTTTTGGTTCGGGCGTCCCCTCATGTGGTTTTCTGTATGTGTTTTGCACTTGGTTTTTGTTGAGCTTTTGGGACCCGTGTGTTTATACTTTCCATGAGATCTGGAACAATTTTGGCCAGTTTCTTTAAATGTTTTTTCTGTCCTTTTCTTTCTCTTCTCCTCCGGGCCCTCAAATACATGGGTCAGGTCGGTGGACTCATCCCCGCCCACTGATATTCGTGCCATTTTCTCTCTCGCTCAGTGTTCATTGGCTTCTTTGCCCGTGTCTCACATGCTGTCCCCTCCCCACCTTTCCCGCTTACATGTTGTGGGGCTCACGTCCAGAAGTTTGTGTCGGGTGTCCTCCTCCACATCTCCTGCTCTTCCCACACGTGGGCTTGGCTGCGACAGCTGCGCCCTGAGTCGGGCCCGTCCTGGGTCCGGTCATCTGGTCAGTCGGTGGCTCTCCTCCCGTGCTCCTGTCTGGAGGGAGCTCTGCAGAGCTCTGTGTGTCCTTTGTTCTCATCAGGAGCTGCTGTCCTTCCTTGGACAGCAGCTCACACCCCGGGACTGACCGAGGGGGATGTGACCCCCTTCCTAGGCTCGACCGTCCTCTCGTCTGGTTGGATGCCAGATGTTGTGAAGTTTGCCTTGTTGGGCGCTGGGTGTTTTGGCAATCCGGAATCTTCTCAGCCTTCAGTTGGGGTGTCTGGAGACCGTGTGAGCCAGCTGCTCTTCTGGAGAACTGTCCTTTCGGTGGAGGTTGGGTTCAGATGCTGTGACCTGCGTGCGCGCCTACTGCAGCCTGCCGTCTTTGCAGGGGCGGTCTCTGCGGGTCACCTGCAGGCCTGCCTCCGCCAGGGACACAGCGTGTCAGGCTAGGCAGGGGGGCTGAGTGCTGGGTGCCTGCCGCCGCCAGGCCTGTCCAGGCCTGTCCGTACCTGTCGTCCGTGGTGACCCCCTCCAGCTGTGCTGTGGTGGGGGGACGGAAGCTGCCTGGTTGGCCCTTGGCTGGACTAGAGGGTTCTGAGGCTGCTACCAGCCAGCTACCCAGAGGGGTGGGCGGCTTCCCTGTTCCCTCCAGGCCCCTCCTGCTCTGAGGGCTGGGCCTCCAGGACAAGGAAGAACGCCCATGAGGGGCCACAACCACCTCTCGCCTCGGCTGTCCTTGGGTTGGGCCCCTCTGTGGTGGGACATCAGGATCTGCCGTGCTCTGAGGTGGGGACGGGCAGGTGGCGGCCCCTCCAGGACCACATCCCGTGTCTGCACAGCCGATGCTGGCGTCTGGTGCAGGCCTGTGGTGCCCACCCCTTACCTGGCCCCTGGCACTGGGCACACACTGTGTCTCTGAACCAGGGCCTGCCCCTCTGCTGGGAAGTGGTGTGGACGTGGCATAGACAGCAGGAGCTGAGGCAGGGAGGCCAAGGAGTGGCTCCCCAGGTCCCGGGGGGCTGAGATGGTGCCTGGTCGGTTGCTGGGCGCTGCCCCATCTCCCTGCAGCAGACTGGGGTTCTCGGCACCCGGCCGCCCCATCCCTGAGAGCTCCCCCTTCCTGTTTCCCTGACCTTCTGGCCAGGGCTGTTCTGTGCTCCTCACGCGCTGCCCCTTCCCCACTGCAGCCCCTCTCTGACAGGATTGCTGAGAAATTTCTGGAAGTATTGCTGGTGCCCCTGTTCTGCCGCTGTCCCTGACCAGGTGCCCGGCTCAAGGAGACAGTGGGCAGAGCCGCGTCCAGAGCTTGGGCTCCCAGCACCAGCCCCCAGGCCTTTAGGGAGCCTCGCCATGTGTCTGCTGAGCGGTCAGCTGGGAGTAGGAGCATACTTGTGTAAGGCCAGAGGGCCCCAGTGCCCCCTACCTGCCTGCCTCTGCTCCAGCCTCAGGCTCTGCTGACCCGGGCCTGTGGGGGCCGGGAGGTGTTAGCCCTCCGGTGTTCAGGCAGCCTGCACTCCTTACAGACACTGAGGATGTGCACCGTCCCCCAGTCCCAGAGACTGGAAGCCAGGGTGCAGGCGTGGACAGAGCAGGGTCCCCCCGAGGCCTCTCTCCTGTGTGTGGACGGCCGTGCTCTCCCTGGGTCCTCACAGGGTCGTCCCTCCATGCGGGTCTGTGTCCTGATCCCCTCTTCCTGTAAGGACCCCAATCACACCGGATCAGGGCCCATGCCGGTGACCCCATGTTACCTCCAGCACCTCTGTAAAGGCCCCATCTCCAGATGTGGCCACATCCTGGGGTGCTGGGGGCCAGGACTCCAGCATAGGAATCTGGGGGACACAGTTCATCTCTGCCACCACCTCAAGGGTGGAGAGTTACTGTTCATACGCTCCATGTGGGCCCACGGCAGCACGTGGAGTGCGTCCTCAGGCTTGTTAGCCCCAGCCTGGCAGTGAACCCCGCACGCGCCCAGCCCGGGTCACACACCACACAGCCTCCACTGGCCGCCAGCATCTGGCCCCTGACTGTTGGAGGCGGGGAGACGGGGCCTCGATTACGACGGTGTGTGTGGGTATGCGTGCCCCCGCGCGCCACCTGTCCTCAGACGTGGGGGCTTCTGGCTGTCCCCCCATCCTCCCCACCCTCTTCTGAGGTGCCCCCCCCACAGGCTGCCGGCCTCCGCCTCCCCGCCAGCCGCGCCCCACTGAGAGCTGCGGGCGGGAGGCCCAGGAGGGGGGCAGCACGGCTGCGGCCTGCCTGAGGGCAGGGGTTGGCTGGAGAGTGGTGTGTGGGCCCAGGGCTATGGCTGTGTGTCAGGGGGGAGCGCTGGCCGCCCTGCCCAGTCAGGCTGGAGGAGGCCACCACCCGGTCCCCTGCCTCACCCTGGCGGGAGCAGGTGACACCTCAGCGGGGCCTCCCGTGGGTCGGAGCAGGCATGGTGCTGCAGCTCACGCACCTCAAGGGCATGTGGAGGCCTGCCCGGTGGGTGTGTCCTGCAGAGAGGGGCTGAGGGCCTTGGGCGGGGGTGGCAGGGCTGCGGCCGGCGGGCAGGGGTGGTAGGGCTGCGGCCGGCAGGCAGGGTCAGTGCTGCAGCCTAGAGGCACCAGGTGCTGACCGGCTTGAGGATTTTGAAGCAGGCGAGGGGTCACATCTGCTTCTGGGGAGGGCTGTGGCATAGGGCTGCCCCAGAGTCACCCCTACGCCAGGCCTCCTCCCGCCTCGCTGTAGAATGGGGCCAGGCCAGAGACTCTGTGGTCCTGGTGGTGGCTCCCGGCACCCTCCTCGTCCCCCACCTCATCGCCTCCTCATCCCCCATCCCCCCTCGTCCTCCCCTCATCCCCCATCATCGCCCCCCATCCTCCTTCTCATGTCCCCCCTCGTCCCCCCTCATCCCCCCCTCGTCCCCCCTCATCCCGCTCCTCATCCCCCCATCCCCCTCATTGTCGCCCTCTCCTCATCCCCTCCCCATCCCCCCTTGTCCCCCCTCATCCCTCTCCCCATCCCCCCTCACCCCTCCTCATCCCCCCTCGTCCCCCCTCGTCCCCCCTTGTCCCCCCCACCCCCGTCCCCTTCCTCGTCCCACCCCATCCTCCCCTCATCCCCCTCCTCATCCCCCCTCCTCCCCCCTCACCCCCGTCCCCTTCCTCATCCCCCCTCGTCCCCCCTCATCCCCCTCCTCATCCCCCCCTTGTCACCCTCTCCTCATCCCCCTCCTCGTCCCCCCCTCGTCCCCCCTCACCCTGTCCCCTTCCTTGTCCCCCCCGTCCCCCTCCTCATCCCCCCCTCGTCCCCCCTCATCCCCCTCCTCATCCCCCCCTTGTCGCCCTCTCCTCATCCCCTCCTCATCCCCCCTCGTTCCCCTCCTTGCCCCATCCCCCCCTCATCCTCCCCTCATCCCCCATCATCGCCCCCCATCCTCCTTCTCATCCCCCTCCTCGTCCCCCCTCGTCCCCCCTCACCCCATCCCCTTCCTCGTCCCCCCTTGTCCCCCTCATTGCCCCCCTTGTCCCCCCTCGCCCCCCCATCCCTCTCCCCATCCCCCCTCACCCCTCCTCATCCCCCCTCATCCCCCTCCTCGTCCCCCCGTCCCCCCTCGTCCTCCCACGTCCCCCGGGCGATCGCGGGCTGTGAGACAAAAGGGCCTGACAGCTCTGCTGTCATGCTTTGTGTGCCTGTGTGCAGGGGGACCAGGGTGGACGAGGGTGCCCTTAGCCCCCAGGGATGTTTGAGGAAAGGAGCGGGTGCCCCAGGGCGCCGCCCCTGGCTGGGCTTTCCCCTTCCCTGGCAGTCCCCCTCCAGATCCTGGTAGGCCGGGGGCCACACCCTCCACGGTGGGCAGGAGAGGCCGTGCCCCCAGCCATGGTGTGTGGTGCCCACCGTCCAGGGCTGGGGCACCTGGGGGGCTGGCTTCTGAGCCCTGTGAGGAGCCCCCGGGAGCCCTAGGAAGGGCTTCTGACTGGCCCAGTGGCAGGCTGCCGTTCCAGCGGGGGATCGGACGAGTCGTGGAGGGGCAGACAGGCGGCCCTCAGTGTGGTCGCTCCCCACAGGCCCCCACGCAGTCGGATTCACATTTAGGGAACCTTTGCCAAAAGCAGGGTCTCAAGCAGAGCACGGGTCCCGGCACAGCACCGTCCCTGGCGTTCGCGTCACAGTGAGCTAACCCTGTGGAGGGGCCCGTGGGGCTGATGGCGATCAGGAGGGACTTCTCCCCCCACGAGAGGACAGTTGATCCTAGGAAGGGGGTCACATCCCCCCCACAGTCCCGGGGTGCGAGCTGCTGTCCAGGGAAGGACAGCAGCTCCTGATGAGAACAAAGGACACACACAGAGCGGGGTAATGGGCGCTGGGCCATGCACCAGCATGAACCCCCAGTGTGGCCTGAGCACCCTCCCACACCTGGCATGAGCCCCCCGCACCAGAGTGCCTCCCCACCTCTGTAACACCAACAGGGAGGCACCCCTCAGGCCCTGAGAGGTCTCCCTCCACCTCTGGCCTGATTCTTCCAGGCAGTCCTCCTGGCCTGCAGAGGAGGCCTGACATGTGTGCCCCTCTCAGGGCCACATCTCTTTGATCCGTGAGCCAGACGGAGGAGCTCAGCAAGGTTCTAGATTGATGCCTTTGTTTGGGGGCGGGGAGCCTCCAGTCCAGCACCCTAGAAACGCAGTTCACCGGGATGCACACCTCGCCAGCCCCCCCAGGAACCTGCGGTGACGGACCCTGTTCCCCACGCAGCTGACGATGGGCCAGGCGTGGGGTGCTGGGGAGCCCCACAGTCACTCAGGCTCGCCAGCTTTCGCACTGACAGAAGCCCGGGCAGCCTGTTTCAGGGCCGTCTGCTGTCCCTGTCTTGGCCTCTGCGACGATGAGCCCCGGGCCCTTTGTGGCAGGCGTCCCTGGTCCCTTCCAGGGAGTGTGGGATCAGCCGCCTCACCATCTGCTCGGCCGCAGACAGAGCCAGGAGCCCATGGTGGGGGCAGGAGGCCAGCTCCCTCAGGCCTGGCACGTGGTCTCCTGGCCTTTGCTGGCCAGGCCTGGGTTCTGTGGCAGCCAAGGGGGCCTGGGGGGGCCGTGGTCTGCAGTGCCTGAGTTTCCCTCCCAACTTCCCAGTCTCTGTTGGCCATCCCTGGACAACACATGGACCTGTCGTGACCGTGGCCAGGCTCCTCTGTGTGGCCTGGTCAGTCTCCAACTCCAGGGATTCTGGACAGCTATGAAATTCCCCCAGGAGGTGGTGTGGGTCTAGGTGCTTATCTGTAGGGCCCCATGCCTTCAAAGTCCTGCTTCGCTGGCAAGCCAGGATGTTCCCCAGGGCCTGGCCTGGCCCCACAATACCCCAGCACCAACCCAGGTGGGCACCTGTTCTTCTGAACCTTTGGGGCCTGCAGCCCCCACCCTGCGGGGCCTTTCCTACCAGCGTCGCTATGTTGTGCCCCATCTCACTCCAGCAGGCCCTGGGCGGCCTCCCTGGGCTGCTTCTCGGGGCCTATTTCCTGTCCAGCTCTGTGCCTTTGTCCTCCTTTTGCTGGGTCCTACCTCCAAGCACCCTGCTCTTGTCTTGGTCCCGGGCCTCCTTGTGTGCCTGGCTTGGCTTTAGGGCATGCTTTGTCACGGCTCGGCTCTCCGCGTGCCTTCTGCTGTGGTTGTTGTGTCCTGCCCATGAAAGGTAGCCCTGGGAGGCCCCGCTGCCTGTGGGGGACAGGGGGGCCCTGCAGGCCAGGGTCCTCATGTCACCCGAGAAGCAACTGGCCCAGCACCCGCTGGACTCGTAGCGTGGGCCTACATCAGAGAGACCCTGCTCTGCCCACCCCCAGCCCAAGAAGACTGTCGCAGGGCCATCGGGGAAGCCGGGTCAGGGGGCCGCTCGAGGGGGCTATCGGTTGGCAGGGGGTGGGGTACAGTGGCTCTGGCTGCAGTAGGAACGGCAACAAGGAGAGGCCACTGGGCATGTGGGTCCCACCCTTTGTGTTTATCAGGCCCCAGGCCCCCTTGCCGGTGGGAGGTCAGGGGTATGGGCTGGCAGGGACCCCTCCCGAGGTTGGGGCAGCTCGGCAGCAGTCCAGCACGGGTGGCTTAGACTCGACCCAGCCCCTCGCGTGTCTCTCGTCTCGGGGTGGGGGTCCCAGCGTAGCGTGCAGGGAGATCTCAGGCCCCGCCACAGAAGGTGAGAAGCCACAGGCTAGTTTCCTTTGGAATGGGGGGGCCCCTGCGCTCCTCCCGCCCTCCTTGGGGTCCTCCCTGCCTGGCTGTGGTGGGTCCTGCACACACGCACCCTGATTCTGTCTGGTCTTCCTGGAACCCTCCAATCTGAGGCCTTGTCACTTCTGGGGGAAGGCGTCCTTCACACCCCACAAACTCAGCGTGCCCGAGCCCGCCGTGCAGGGGCGTTCTGTGCATTCAGTTGTGCGGCCAGCACCTCAAATTCCACACTTTCCTCACCCAAAACGAAGCCCTGGGCCCTCTGAGCAGCCCCCGCCCCCCCGGGTGACCGGTGACCGCTGAGCCACATGCTGTGAGTTTGCCTCTCCTGTGACGCTCAGCAGTCCCCGTGAGCGCCTGCTCTGCCCCAAACGCACGTGCCCTCACTCCGTCCACGTGGACCCTGGTGGGGCAGAGAGGACGCCGCAGAAGGCCCGGCCAGGACACCCAGCCTTGGTGCCGTCCCACGCTCCGCTGCGCAGCCCACAGGTGCCGCCAGGGACACTGCTCCAATCTCGGGGGCCATCTGTCAGCATCTCTGTCCTTCCCCGACCCCCGAGGGAGGACACGAGGCCCCCAGCCCACGTGGGCCCAGGGCTGAGGGTCCCAGCCCCGTCCTATGCTCCCCTCTCCAGGTGCACACGTGGCCCTCCCACAGCTGGGCATGCTGCGGGCACTGCCTACACCGGGGTGGCCCCCCGAGTCCCACTGCCCCTCCATGTGCTCGGGCGGTCTCGGGGACTCCGACATCCATGCCCGGCCTCCCACAGGTACATCCAGATGCTGAAGGACCACAGGCCCCGGATCGTGTGGGACAGCCAGGCAGCAGAGCATTTCTTCGAGTACAAGAAGTGAGTGTCCAGGAGGAGGCCCTAGGTGAGGGGTGTGCCTGCCCGGGCTGGCCAAGGGCCCCCGGGCCACCAGCTCGCGCACTGCCCCTGAGGGCTGGGCCAGCCCGAGGAGTGGGACCCATGGAGGGCCCTTTCCAAACGGTCGGAGACCTCTGCTGGAAGGGGAGGTGGGGCCGGCGTGCCCTTCCATTTGGGGGCAGGGGAGGGGTGCGGGAGAAGCAGAGGCTGGGAGGAGGCAGAAGGCCTCGTCGTGTTTTGCAGAAGCCGCGGTGGGAGGCACATGGTCTTCTACCCAACTCTGAAGGTATGTGTGGGCCGGCCTTGTTGCTGAGGGTGGGGGCAGCAGGTACAACCCCTCCCCACAAGGACCCTTGTCCTCAGTGAGGCCCTGCTGAGCAGTGTCGGCAGGGGGGCTGCCCGGGGGTGAGAGGTGGGGCTAACGCCTGCCCGTGGGCCCGCAGTCTGTGCAGGTGCGGCTGGAGCTGGCCCGGGAGCTGGGCGTCGGAGTGTCCATGTGGGAGCTGGGCCAGGGCCTGGACTACTTCTACGACCTGCTCTAGGCCTGGCTGCGAGCGGATGTGTGCTTTCCTGAGCGATGGAGTGACCAGTTCACATGTGAAATACAGACTCTTCTCTGTTTCCAGTCCAGTTTCTGCTGCGGTCCTCGAGGTGGCTGAGGGGTCCTGGGAGCCAGGCCTCCTCACCAGTGATGTGGGGTGGGGCCGTCCTGGCCAGGTTGCCCAGACGACGCAGGCCCCTCCCACCCAGCCCTCACTGCCACCAGGCCGGGTGGGGGCAGGACCGGGCTCTCTCCCCTCCCCTGTGGACCCCGGGGCTGTGCCGAGGGGCCTCGGCCTCTCCCTGCCCATGCTGGCCCGGCCTGCCCAGCGAGGGGGTGGGGGCCGCTGTACGAAGCCCGACTCAGAGAAGCTGTTCCTGTCCCGCAAAGGAACCCTGCGAGCCCGTGGGTGCCAGTGGGCCGGGCGGTTGGGTTCTGCCCACAGGCGTAGCCAGGCTCCCGGGATGAAACGTCAGGAGAGACCCTGGGACTGCCAGTAGCCAAAGACAGCTAGACCCCGCCCCCCAGGCCCTGGGCCAGAAGGGCTGCTGGCCCCTGCTCCCAGCCATTGAGCTCCATGGTCCTGCGGGCTGCGAGCAGCGGAGCCTCCTCGGTAAGCACGCCGGTCCGGGGCCTGGTGCTGTCCGCGGAGCCGGCCCCGACTCACTGCTCAGCTGCTGTGCGTGAGCCTGGGGCCCTGCCCAAAGCACTTGGGCTTCCACGCTGCAAGTCCTGGGGTGGAGGCCGTGCTCCCTGCTCTCCTGCTGTGGGACGTGAAGCAGGAAGGGCTCTGAGGGGCAGGGCCCGCCAGTGCCCTGTTGGAGTGGCCCCACGGAAGAACCCCGCTGTTGTGAGGGGGACAGGCCCTGCCAGCTACCCCCTCTCCCAAAGCCACAGACTTGCTCATGGGGCTGGGGGGCAGGACGGCCTGCTGGCGTGGGTGAGGAGTCTGGGCCTGAACAGAAGGAGGGAGAGGGGGTGTGGGGGTGGAGCGGAGCCGTCGCAAGAAGTCCACGTGTGCAGCCACCGTGGACGCGTGTGTGCATGCTCAGCACACGTGTGCACACGTGTTCGTGTGTATGCCTGTCTGCTTGTGGGTTGGCACGTGGGGCCACAGCATGGGGTTCGCCCGGCCCCACACCGGCCACCCTGGCAGTGGGCAGGAGCAGAGGGTGGAGCTGGAGGCACAGGCCGGCACGCCCCTTGTCCCAGCTTCAGAGGCCTGGGCAGGAAGGGAGCCAGGAGCCCTAGCACCAGGGCTGGGATGCTGGGCTCTAGTGTGTCTGGAAGTCACAGTATGGGTCAGTGTTAGATGGGGAGCCGGGCAGGTGACAGACGCTGGGTGTGCATGGGAAGGTGGGACCAGCAAAGGGGGTGGGGGCTGGGAGAGTGGTCCTGAGGTCTGACCCCCAGGGGCACCCACACTGAGAACGGTGAGCCTGGGAAGCAAGCAGAGGCAACAGGTGGGGGTCTGTACTGGAGGGCAGGGACCCTGGTGGACCGGGGCACAAAGGCCGCTCGAGGGCCATGGGGGAGGTTGAGTCAGGGCTGGAGTCTGAGGGGTCACATAGGAGGCTGTGGGCGGAAAGGGTCCCAGGTCTGCAAGCTGTTCCCATGGGTCCAGCGAGAGCTTGCATGTGGGGTACACAGGAGCAACCAGGCCTGGGGCAGGTCTGACTTTGGTCACATGCTTGGAGAGAAACACGAATGGGGGGCCCAGGTCCTCGCAGGCAGGCTCTGTGGACACTGGTAGGGGGTTACATGGGACTGCTTTGCTGGGTGTGCGACCGTTCCTGCCGGTTTTCCAGTTTGCTGCTCGTAGGTGAGGAACAGTTTGGTCTGGGGGCGTTAATCACGTGCCCTGAGATCACTAAGGGCAGTGATCTGGTAGTTTCCGTGGAGTGAGGACGGGAGGTGTCGGTGGGCTTGGGTGCACACTGGCAGTCTGGGTTGTGTCTGGGCCGTGGTCAGTGCTTGGCGGGGCATCCCCAGGTGGGCCGGAGAGAGGGCAACACCTTGGGGCTGGCAGGAAGGAGGGCTGGAAACTGAGGTTGGGGGCTCGTGAGGCTCCTGGGAGGGGCCCATCCTCCAGCCCGAAGCCCCAGACCCACGGCTTCCTCACCCCGTCAGCCCTATCTCAGGAGACCCCGGTGCTTGCGCCCCAGAGGTAGCCGCTCCACTCCTGACAGCCCATTTTATCTGCAGAATCCGTACAGATGAACAGTTCGGGGGCCAAGTTCACGGGGGGCAGGCAACGCCCTGGGGCTGCATGGAGGGCGTCGGAGGGCAGGGCCATCCTGAGACGCCTCTGCACTTCCTGTGTCTGATCTCACGGAGGCTGGGGGCTGGCCCCACGCGTGTGCGGGAGCCCCGCTGCAGGCACGGGGCACATGGTGGGGGCCCACGGCCATACAGGGTCTGTCTGGGCAGCCCCCCAGAGGCTCAGGGCAGCAACAGACACAGGTGGGGGCTGTCGCCCACGCGCTTTATTAAGATGCACCCAGAGCCCGCACTGGCTCCGCCGTGGAATGTGGACGGTGGGGCGACAGCCTCGCCTTGAGCACCAGGACCAGCGGTCGGCCCTTCACCCCCACCCCCACCTGCGAATGACCCCAGCCAGGGGAGCGCTGCTCTGGAGAGTACGTGGGTATGACAAGCTCCTCCCGCCCCCAGCCCTGCCTGCGTGGCCAGCACTTGGCGCCCTCCTCCAGCACGGTGTTCGCAGGGCTGGCTGAGGGTCCTGGGGGGGTGTCCAGGGTTGGTGCTGAATCCTGAGCAGGAGAGGCAGGTGGGGGCGTGGTCACCTCCCCCGTGGGCTGTGAGGCAGAGGTGGCAGGCAGCGGGCAGCCTACGCACAGTAGGTATCCGCCTTCACCACCTGACAGTACATGGTCATGGCGAAGGTCAGACCCAGGATCTGCGGGGACACGAGGGGGCTGGGCAGGACTGCTCCAGGAGACCACGAGCACAGAGGGGTCCTGCCCATGGACCCCACCCCACAGTTTCCTCCCTGGATGGCCTGTACCCCACTTCTCGGGAGGCCTCCCCCAACTGGCAGTTCAGGTCCAGCCCAGCCACGTCCCCCGAGCCTCGGCACGGGCACCCTGGGGACCCCTAGGGCTCGGCCCCCAGACCTGCCTTTCAGTGTGGCCACTGTGGTTCTGCTGGTGGCTTCAGGGCCCAGCGGCTCTGTGCCCCTCCCTCCCTGCCTGTCACCCAACTGGGACCACCTCTGACAGTGTCTGTGTGCACTGCTGCGACCCCCATCGACCTCTGTACCCCAGGAGCGGGGGCTGCCCTCCGACACACTGGCCTCGAGCTCCCCCACGGTGCCGACACGCAGGACTCCACGGGGGCTGGGAAGCCAGGATCGGGGGCACCAGGGCCTGGGCCGCCCACCCTCACTCTGCACCAAGCCATCCCGTGACCACCACCCACCACAGCTGCCAGGCGTGGGCCGCAGGAACAAGGCTGGCCTGCCTGTCCCTGGCCCGTCAGGTCGCCTCCCCGTGGAGTGGCCCCGGACCATCCCTCAAACCCCACCTCTCAGCCACATGGGCCTGAGGCGCTTCCACCGAGTGCCGGTGAGCTAGGCTGCTAGCTGGGGGCTGGGGCTGGTCCAGGGGGCTCCTGAGGCAGGCCCTGCCCAGCGTACCTGTATCAGCGCCGTGCACAGCCCGAAGATGCCCACAGCCAGAAGGTTCTCCTGGAGCCACATCTTCACGGTCTCGTAACACGGCTGGGGGAAGGGTGCACGTCACAGGGGCCACGAGGCCACCCCCTCCACCCCCGGGTCCCGGATGCGTCGGGAGGGTAGGTGCTCACCGCCTTCCACCAGGTGCCAGGTGCGTGAAGGCCACAGCCCTCGCTGAACTCCAGGCAGCAGGAGTCCGGCACGCGAGTGGCGTTATAGACTTCGAACCAGTCGGTGTAGTTGGAGACCCCGCAGCAGCGGAACTACAGACAGGCGCAGGGGCTGGGATGGTTGGGGAGCAGGCGGGTGGGGCCTGCCCCCCTACTCGGCACACCCGCATCCCCTCTGCCTCCGCACGCACACAGACTCACGTCGGTCTGGATGATGCTCCAGGCGTTGGTGAGGCCCACGTTGCCTGGGGTGCCATATAGGTGCAGGCCCTTCTTGAGGTCCCGCTGGGCATACCTGTCGATCTGCAAGTGTAGAGGGGTCGGCAGGGCCACCCCCACGGCCAGCTCCACCTCCCTCGTCCAGACCCCCGGCACCTTGTGCCCACTGTTTCCCTCCTTGGAGTCCCCTCCTCCCAGAAGCCCCCATCCCTGTGCCCAGGCCCAGGACTTGGCCCCTGCCTGTCCCCGCCCCTGGGCCCTCTGTGGTGCTGAACACCGCTGGCACTAGAGTCCGGCACCTCAGCTTCAGGTACAGAGACAGACGGACACGTACAGAAACACCGAGCGCGGTCTGTACATGCGGGTTGTGAGTACACGGCTCCGTCCGTCCGCTCGGGCCCAGAAGCTACGATGCCCCAGTGGCGAGGAGCACGCCGGCCCCCGGAACTCGGTTCCCCAGACCGTCCTCCAGTGAAGGAACCAGGGCTCCTGGAGAAAAGGCTGATTCCAGGGCTGGGGCAGGACACGCCCAGCTAGGTCTGGGGGGCGTCTAGCGCCAGAATGCACACCGAGGGGAGGATGCCAAAGGGACCCAGGAGCCAAGCAAGAGCTCCCAACGGGCAGAGGTGCGAAAATGTGAGCAAAATAAGGGACACGGGTCTAGGGTACAACTCAGAGTACAAAACACATGTAAATGAGCAGTCAGTAATGTAAGTAAGTAAATGGGGATGGGGGCTTTTCCCTGCCCAGCAGACACGCAGTCCAGGACAGTAAGGAGCTCAGCCAGAACACAGCACCGCACCCCTGCACCCCCACTTCTCGGAGGGCCAGAAACCTCCCAAACCTCCAGGCCCGGCCTCTGGTGGCTGCGGTTAAAGCCGGGTCTTCCAGTGAGTGGATGGCAGGGGCCACCGTCCACCCGCACAGAGCATGGGGCTGGTGACAACCATTCCCAGCCCTGCCCAAGGCCTTGTCACCACAGCACGGTGGCCGCCAGCCGGGTGGGGAGATCAGAGCCCCCACACCCGAAGCTGGGGAGGGCGGGGTGGCCGAACCTTGTCAGTGCAGGCGAAGAACAGGGTGGTGACGGTGGCCTCCAGCAGGAACACCAGGAGCAGCATCACAAAGAACTGCAGAGGAGACCTGGCCTTGGTGACTTGGCCGCCCCGACCCCCAGCTGCCCCCCAGCCCTCCGCGAACCTCGGACAGATGCCCCAGTGCTGCCGGGACGCACACCGGGTCTCCGGCCCCCAGAGAGCAGCGTACCACCCTCATGCCGCCCCACCTCCCGCGGACCCCTCCCTTCTCTGGAGGGGCTCTTCTCGCTCGACTGACCGCGGAGCACAAGCCTCACACCTGCCGGCACACGTGTGCTTTGTGCCCGTGTCCCCCTCCCTGTGGGCGGGGAGGAGGTCAGTCTGTGATGACCTTGAACCCTGGGGGTCACCGCCACCAGAGCACACCCACTCAGGAAAGACCACGGTGAGGGGACAGCCGCCAGGAGCCTGAGAAGCCCCACCCGACTGCACAAACTTTGCTGGGTGACAGCCTCCCACTCAAGCACCCCCAAAGGCACAGCCCCGACCCTGCCATAGAAGTCCCAGGCCAGTGGAGCAGCAGAGACGGCCTGTGTCCACCCCGCCTTTCCTGCAGACGTGAATGGGGCCCAGGCGGAGGGAGCGCGCCCTGTCCTCTCCTGAGGCCCCCATCTGGCCTTCCCTCAGTGCGGGCCCAGGATGCCCCCAGCAGGCCCCGGGCTCTGACTCCCGAGTCTCCCTGTGGGGACGGCCGGGGCTGGGCCCCGCACACACCCTGCAGCTTCCTTCCCCGGGGCAGCTGGGGACCCAGCCACACCCCCACCTGCTGCTCTGAGGGATCAGAGCCCCAGGCCCTGATGGGAGCATCTGGAATGTGCTGGACACCTGGGGAAGCTGCACGGACTGGGGGACATGCCCTCCGAGGCCCCACCCTGGGCAAGGGCTCCTCAGGCCGGATCAATTTGAAGGGGTGACTTAGGACTTGAAGCTGCTGGAGGCCTTTGCTAGACCTAGTAATAGGTGCAGAGCCTGACCCCGGGGATCCTTCCCCTTCTCAATTATCTGTGATTAACGTTCCTAAAGACGGGAACACATCCTGCCTGTAAATCTGTCTCCAAGGCAGAGGTGGGGACTGTGAGCCTCTCAACAGAGGGTCCTGGGACGGGAGCTGGGGAGGGGGTCCCAGGAAGGGTGTCGCAGAGCAAACAGGCCCGGTACCGGCTGGAGGGGCCCCACCTGGCACTCGTGTGGGGGGGTGATAAGACATGTGTCCTGTCAAGGGAGGCCTCCACTAAGCTCTGGGCAAGCAGCCCCCCGGCACCCAACCCCCCACAGCCCCAGCCTGGTCTGGAAGGCCCCAGCAAGGCCCCTTGGGGCTGCCACAGGCCATGGCCATGACCTGCTGGCCCTGCGGGGTCAGCACAGGTAGGGAGCAAAGGCCCCAGAGGTGAAGCCCACGTGCAGGGCGCACTCACGGTGAGCAAGAGGCACTTGTTCTCCTTGATGGCCCCGATGCAGCCCACGAAGCCGATGGCCATGACGAAGGTGCCGGTAACAATAAGCAGGTTGGCGGCCGACAGGGACGGGAAGGAGGACGACAGGGTGGCGAAGTTCCCCTGGGTGGCAGCCAGCCAGATGCCAACACCCAGGATGCCACAGCCTCCCAGCTGGGACCGCCGGGGTAGGGAGAGAGGGCAGTGAGGCCACCATCCACACATTCCAGACCACCCCAGAACAGACCCCTGTGGCCACCCAGAGTGGCATCCCATGGGCCCCGTGCACCCTCGCCCACCCTGCCAACCTCCACGGCCAGTCACCCCTCCTAGTCTTGTCCCAGCACCCAGCCGATTCCCCCACAGCCACAGTAATGGGGACCCCAAGGTCCACACCTATGGCCGTGGGGAGGATGTGGTCTGAGGACACTCTCCACTCGGGTCATGAATGGGGTGCCTGCCCCTGTCCCAGTGACATGGTGAGGCAGCCAGGGCAGGGGGCCCAGGGCCCCCCCAAACACCACCCCTTCAGGAAGCATCCCCTTCTCCCCCAGAGCCTGGCCTGCACCTACCCCACAGCCTCTCTGGACCTGAGAGTCAGGGAGATGACTCCTGGAGACCCTGCTGGACCACACGCTCCCCTCTTACTAAAAAAACCACCTTCCAGTGGGTGGCCACAATCCCCATGGGCCCCCCTGGTGTCCCCAGCTGTCCCCTTCTAAGCACAAGCCCCAGGGCACCCACCAAGCCCCAGCGTGGATGCCAGCACAGGACAGCGCAGAGAACCTCATCCCTGGCCCTTGCTGCCCTTCCCTCTCAAACACTGGAACTTTTACTGAATTTCATAGTTGTTCCTTATTACAAACACAATTAAAATGAGAGGAAGAAGGGCGAGAAGGCAAAGTGGTAAAGAACCCAGTGCGGGCCCGCGGCCTTGCCTGGTGAAGGGGACACCCAGCCTTGGGGGAGCAGGGATGGGCTAGGGCTCTGGGTGGTCTCAGGAATAAACAGGTGCAGGCTTGGGGCAACAAGCCCCACAAAAGCTGACCTGGTCCCCCAAAACCTGGGCTTCGGTGAGACCACTTGGCAACCAACACCTGCTGGGCCCTGGGGAAAGCCAGGCGGCTTTGGGGACCCCTCCCCACTCCTCACCATCTGGCCTGGCCCCCATGGCCTCAGCCCCCAGGGCTCTCCTGGGCACAACACCCAGCCCTTGGAGTGATCACCCTGCATGCCCAGGACAGGCTAGGTCACAGACTCCAGGGTAAACAGCATCCAGCCCTGCATCACCCCACAAAAGCTTCCTGAGCCTAGATGGCCAGACTCCCACCCCATTTCCCAGACCAGTAAACTGAGGCTGGGAAATGAGCCTCCCAACCCAGTCAGTCGAGCCAAGGGGAGCCAGGGCCATCCACACACAATGCCTCCCCAACAACTGGCCTGGTTCCCCAAGCCTGGCAGGGACCCCATGACTCAGCAGGCCCCACAGGCTCTAAGACCCTTGCCCAAGGAGGCCTCACCGGCCAGTCAACCTGGCCCTGGGATGGGGGTGGGGCCACCACTCGTTTCTCCATAACCCATTGGGGAGTGTGCACACCATGCATTAAACCAGGCTGGCAGGAGACTGCAATTATGGGGGTGGGGGGACGCAGCTCCCAACCCAAGAGCATTAGGGGCTACGGCTCCCGGGGTGTGGGCAGACACCAGGGGCTCTGGCCCAGGCCTACCAGCGTCTGGGATCCCTCTGGGCCTTGCCAAGGGCAGGAGAGTCCCCAGCTGAAATGCCCACCACCATCCAGTGGGGGTCCAGTCAGCCCAGGGTGAACATGTGGGTCGTCTCTGGCCCTCCTGCCCCTCTTTGCACCTTTCACAGAAACAAGAACTGCGGTCTAGAAGTTATAAACACCTCTTTTGAATGCTGCTGGCTCAGGGCAGGGTCCAGGAAGCTGGGGTCATCCTGCTTGCTTGAGCCCCTCCCCAGAGTAGGGTGGGGGTCTGCAGCTCAGGCAAGGGACAGGGAGGGGGCAAGGTACCAGGTTAGGGGGACCCTGCTGCAGGGTACTAACCACATGGCCCTGAAAGTTCCCAGAGGGCCCACCATGGACAGTGACAAAAGCCTCTGCCTGTGGCCTCCTGTGAGGCCATCTGCATGCAATGACCAAACCCAGGGCCATGATCAGGGGCCAGGGGGCCAGGGGAGGCTGCCCAGACGAGGCTCAGAGGTGGGAGGCCAGTGGGGGCATCCACCCGGAGGAGTGGCCTGAATTGCCTCTGGGCCCTGGGTGTGCACCCAGTGTGAGGAGCCAGCTGCCCAGCGCGGGTGGGGGAGGGGGAGACGACACAGGTGACGTCTTCACTGCAGAGCTGGGCTTGGGCACAGCCCCGGGGCAGTTATGGAGATGTGTGTGCACCCCCACCTGTGGGATGGAGGCAGGCCCCCCACCAATGGCACTGGCACTGTCCGAGGTGCTGACCCCAGGCGGGGTGGCCAGGGGGACATCCAGCGCCTCTGGGCACCCCACGCCCGCCTGTGGGAGGCACCACTCAACATCACGGGGCACAGAAGAGGCTGGGACAGGCTCTGGCTCATTCGATCTTCCCACCCAACCTGCAGATAAGAAACTGGGAGCCGGGGGGGTTTCTGGAGCTATGCCCCACCCCGTGTCCCCACAGTGTGCCCACTGCCTCTGGGATCTCCAAAGCCCCAGGGGAAGCTTGAAGCTGGGGCCGCCCAGTGGGGTGCTGTGCACAGAAGGGACACCGTGGCCGAGGACCCGGGTCAGGGAGGGCGTGAGGGTGGGCCACCTCCCTGTGGGGAGGGACACTGACCGGCTGCCATGCCCAGGCCTCACGCCAGCCTGTCCCCCACTGAACCACGCAGCCCCCACTCTGAGCCAATCATGTCTCCGAGCTGAGCCCCCAGGATGGGGCCTTGGTGGGTGGGGCCGTCTCCTGCGGCAGGTCCCTGAGCAAAGGAGACAATGACTCGTTCTTTACAACCTGACTGCCTGCCTCAAGGACGTCGGCAGACGGCTCCTGTCAGCAGGAAAATGAGCCCGTCTGAGCTCCCTTGTCCCATGGGGACACATGGAAGGGCATGGGGAGGACACAGGGAGCAAAGCGGCTGTGGGGGGTGGGGACCAGTCCAGGTTCCAGGGGACCGGGGACGGGGCTCCTCACCCCCAGCACTAAGTGGAAACGGATTTCCTTAATTAACTCTGTTCACGACGTCCCACCTCCACCCGGAGACGTCAGGAGAGACCCACGCTGGGACACACACACGGCCCGCTGCCATGGGCAGCCCTCGCCGGCACCATGTCGCACGGGCTCATGTCACAGACATGCTGCCCTATGGCTTGTCCTGCCCACAAGCCCCAAGGCCCTCCGTGTTCAAGCTTGTTTGCACAGACCAGTCACCAAAAACTCAGACACACACACTAACAGAATGCATGCACACAGTTAATAAAATTACCTGTAATTTTGAAAATGTTTCTGCGTATGCAGCTTTTAAAACATTTTGGCAGGAAAATTACAGCCTCCAAGTGCAGGAAAAAAACAAGGCCCGTTAGACTCAGACACAGAACATCAAACACAGCATAAGTGGGGCTGAGGTTCCTGGGAGGCCAGGACCCCACCCCAACCCCACGGCTGCCCAGCCCCGCTCTCTCACTGCCTGGGGCACTGGCTGGACTCTCCTCCCAGCCACACAAAAGCCCAGCTGGGTCCCAGGAGCAGACCCGCTGACCGCCTGAGAGAAGGGCCCAGCCCTCCCGTTGGGAACCCCCATCCCTGCCCTGCCATCATCTGTGGCCTCCCTGACCCCCTCCCGTGCATCTCGAGCATACGCCTTATCTTCTGTCCTCACCTGTCACCAGCCCCAGCCCAGTGCCTGGCTTGTGCCCGCCCCCATTCCTGCTGTCCTTTTTTCTTGTCTGTGCATTTTTCAATTTGGCCTAGGACTGAGGGTATAGGGACCACATGGTCTGAGATGCCACCCCCGCCCCCAGGCCCATGAAGGGGCAGGTATCAGGTGGCCCTCTGCCACTGCCCCTCCGGCCAGCAGATGGCGGGACAGCTGGCCACGTCCTTGGAACACAGTGGAGGGCTGGGTGCCTGCAGGGGCCAAGCCTGTGCCCAGAAGCCCCTCGCCTGGCAGCCAGCACAGCCTTGGGGTGGGGGCTGGGCATGGCGAGGTGTTTCTCCCCTCCCAGCCGAGAACAGCCACGAGGGGACCCCATCTATACACGTTCAGGAAGGGCAAAATGTGTCCGCCGTGCCAGAAACCAGGTCTGCCCCAAGGCAGGAGTCAGGGAGACTGAGCGAAGGGGCTTCAGGGACCTTCTGGGCCGACAGAAACGTTTCCTACCTTGACCGGATATGGTCACCTGGCCGTTCGCTGAAAATCTATGCAACTGCCTGCCGTTCATGTTCTTAAACGCCAGCAAGCCCCCACACCATCATCAGCCCCGTTCACTGACCCCCAAGGCTCGGACACAAGGAGACCAGCCCCAGCCCGTCAGGGAGACAGCCCCACTGACAGGACCCCCTGAAGCCAGTGTCCACGGGGAAGGGGTTGGGCAGGGAACAGAACAGGCCTGGCCGGCAGCTTCAGGAAGGTCCAAGTCCACCCTCAAGGGCGAGGAGGAGCTCACTGGACCACAAAGGGGCATCCAGGGGACAGATAAGAACCCTAGCAACAGGGGCACCTGCTGGCTCAGCCCGTGGACCATGAGACTGCTGGGGAGTCTCACCGGGGCCCCCTAACGGACCGCTGCCACCCCCAACCTATCGGGGAGCCACCCGCTCGGCCACACACACACCTGGTTCCAGCATCAGCGCTCTGCCTGCCATCCCCGCCGTGGATGGCGTGGGGGTCGCCGAGCCAGACCCAGAGACTGGTACTGCCACCACAGAGCCGACCAACATCCCCAGGCCCCGAATCCCCGTCTGTCCCATCAGCCAGCTGCTGGCCCCAAGGAGGAGAGTGTCCTGACCCTTGACCAGGGCAGCCAAGCACCCCCACCCCCAGCTCCCTGGTGCCCTCCAGACCCAATCCCATCACAGAATCTGCCTGCCCTCCCTCCACCCATCGCAAGGCAGCCCGCCCACCCCTACTTGCAGGCAGCAGGCCACCCCTGCTTTACCCTGCCGCAGAGAGAAACAAGCCTGGACACGGGGACGCGCCCAGCACCACCAGGAGGCCGCAGCCGAGAGCCACAGGGTCCGGGACGCTCACTGGCCCTGCCTTGTGACCTCCCAGCTGCAGGGAGGACTGAGGGGGGAGGTCATGGCCCCCAGCTCTACGGGGCCCTTTGCCACCATGTGTCCCCTCCTCCACCAGTCTCAGGGGCCTTGCCCAAGGGCCAGTGACAGCCACCCACTCAGGCCACCCACTCGGACATCATCTGCAGTTCATCAAAGGGGAAAATCCAGGCCCCCCTGAGGTACAGCTGGGGCAAGGGAGACGCCAGGAGACCCCAAGGGGGCAGGATTTACCCAAAGTCCTATGGAGGCCTGGGCAGCAGGAAAAGGCAGGCAGGGCTCCGACCCCCACCCCAGCCATGCAGAGGGACCCTGACCACAAGTGCAGGGAGAGGCAGCGCCGCGCGCAGCCCAGGGGCAGGAAGGGGGGTGGGGAGGGACACCTGCCAGGGGAGCAGCAGGAGGGGGCCCTCAGCTTGGCTGATCCGAATCTGGGAGGAGTCGGGCAGCTGGCCAAGGGGGAGACACAGAAGCACCCTGACCTTGCTAGGCTCAGCCCCGCCTCCTCCCAGGCCCCCCCCGGCCCCCCCCCCCGGGCCACCAAGACTGCCCCTGGGGGAGTCCTGAGCCCTCTGCCCCAGAGCAGGGGAAGGGCAGGAAGAGCACCTCCTTCCTCCTCACCCCCCCCGCCGACCCTGGGGTCTCCACCTCTGCCACCGTGGGGGCCTGAACAGCCCCAAACCCTCACCCCGCGCCTGGCATCACACGGTACACCCCACCTGTTCCCGGGTACTGAACGTGGATGGGGCTCCCGGGAGACACCCCCGGCCCCACCGTGGGGACCCTGGCCCTACATCTGTGCAGGCCTCAGAAAAGGGCCACTGTGTCCCTGCCGGAGCTGTGTGTCCCCAACAAAGGCCCCAGCTGCTGCGGGAAGGCAGGAGAGGCTATAAGGGTCAGTTGGCTCTGGACTCTGAGGGGCCCCGGCCACCAGCCCCTGTGTCCCTCTCCTCCTCCGGGTGGTGCCTGTGCCTTCCCAGCCCCCCGCCTCAGGTCACCCCAGCTCCAAGCCCTGGTGACAACACGTGGGCCTGTTTCCTTCACTGAGACAAGCCAGGGACTCAGCCCATCCACACAGGACCAGGCAGACCAACGCCAGGACAGACAGGTGATGACTCTTTCCCGCCCCACGAGGACCCACGGCTGGAGGCCTCAGCCCTGCCTTCCCAGACCCAAGCAGGAGCCCCCAGGGAAAACCCACCAAACGGGGCACATAAATAAGAGTCAATTATCTGCTGAGCCTGCCCTCCCCACTCCCTGCCTCCCCAGGCCCAGTCAGGAACCCTGGTCTTGGCCAGAGGCGCCCTAGGGGCAGGGAAGTGGGTGCAATGGGGACAGTATTGCTGGAGGAGCAAGGGGTCAATGAGAGGGCCTTGAGGGGTCCGCCTCCAGCAGAGTCGAAGCCCGGAGGTAAAGGGGGGCCAGGCAGGGCTTGGGGGACAGGAGAGCCAAGACAAGGGTGGGATGAAGTTAGAGAAGTCACAGCACCTTGACCTCTAAGCAGGTGTGAGGGCTGGTGCCCTCGGGACCCCTCACCTCCCTGCACCCCTCCCCCCATCTGCACCTGCAGCCTGGACTCCTGCCCCCCCCCACCAGGACCCCCCCGCATCCACTCCCTCTGGGAGCCACACCCGGGACAGGCATGGCTGCCCCACCAGACACAACTCCCCCCATCCCACCCCAGCTGCAGATGATGACCTCCCCACTTGCCAGGGCAAACGCTGGCCCAGCACCTGACCTGGCCTGGCCCTGTAGGGTGGGGTCAGAGGGACTGATGCAGGTGAGTGTCTTGAGGTCCAGCCCTCTGGGACTCCCCTCCCACAACCTCAGTCCTGAGCCTTACAGTCAGCTCCAGTGGGGAGACTAAGGCATGATGCTCAGGGGTCTCCCAGTGACAGTGGGAAATGGAGGGGGGGGCCAGCACCCCCAGGTAACAAAGGAGCTGGGGCCCCAGGGAAGGGTGCTCTAGCCTCTGCCCCAGCCTAGTTGGCACCTCCAACCGGGACTCAGCCTCCTGACCATTCCCACCACGCCTCGCGAGTGCTTCCTGTGGGCTGTGGGCAGGCCCGGGTGCCCCTCTCTGCCCTCCGGGTCTCAGACCCCAGCTGGGCACCATGCTGGGGCAGGGACGGGCCCAGGTCAGCAGCAGGGGGCCAGCTGGCTTCTCTGGAAAGTAGAATGTGGAATAAAAGGGAAATGGATTGTGCAGCCCAGGAGGAGCTCCCAAAGGGGTTTCTGATCCACCGCAGGGATGGCAGAGCGTGTCTGTCCTGCAGCTGCCACGGAAGCTCCTTCAGGCTTCACAGGGCAAAGACAGCTCAGCCTGGGGACCCTTGAGGGGTCGCCTCTCCTTCTGCCTGCAAGCAGCTGCCCAGACCACTGAGGAGGGCAGACAGGGAAGAAGCAAGTCTTGCCCACCTCCTGGGACCTGCCCCCCGCTGCCCCCCGCCACCCCAGGCGCTCCGCCACCTGCACCTCCACCGGTCAGGTCTGGCCACCCGCAGTGACATGCCCACTCCGCCAGCCACTCGGTGCCAACCACACTGGTGCCCACTGCAGCCGCTCCACATCCCCCACCAGAGAAGATGCCCACCCCTTCATGTGCTGGGCCCGGGCTCCAGCTGCCCCCCGCCCCTGCTCTGGCTCCTGGCCTCACGGTGCTTCACCCTGGGCCTGGGCCTCAGCCCTGCCAGGAGTCTCTTGTAGAGAACAAACTCTTGGGGTGACCGCCCCTAGCAGGAGACCCCTGGGATCACACCCCTCAGGCAGCCCAGGCTGGCTGCCCCTCCCGGGGCCCCCTGACTACCCCCACCACAAGCTGGGAAGAGAAAAGCACAGCCTAAGAAGGAAAGGACGAGCAGGATTCTGGGCATTTGGCCTTAACTGAACTGCATGCAAATGAGCATGCAAAGCACAGCCTCCTTGTGGGGTCCAGAGCCCAGGCCATACCCCCTCACTCCTAGTTGTGGAAGGAGGATTGGCTTGAGAATTAACGATGGAGCAGGGAGTGACCTTGGCATCCTCTCTCCACTGAGCCTCCCCTAGCCCAGCCAGGGGAACCCCAGCCTGGGCGGGCTTGTTCCGACCTGCTCCGGTGGGACAGCAGCCACAGCTGGGGCCTGCCATGCTCCCTGCAGGTCTGGGGCCAGGGCTGGGTGGCAATTCTGTCATCTCCATCATCCTCCCCACCCACCCACCCTCGTCTGGAGGACAAAGCGGCCACCTCTGACCCTGGACACACACATCCTGTCTGAGCAAACCCAACCCACCTCAGCAAAAGTTATGGGCGCCCCGCACCCCGACACACACGCGCGCGTGCACACACACGCACACGCACACACATTCGCACCATGTAGGAAGAAGAGCCAGTGGGGAGACCAGACACCTCCCCAGCACACCTGGTGGCCCAACATCCCGCTCAGTGTCAGGCCCAGCCAGAGAACTCACTGGTGCACACACACCCCCTCTCCCTTTCCGCAGGGCCTCCAGAGACTGGAGGGGACCACCTGGCCCCCGACAGCCCCTTGAGGACCACGATCCTTGGGCCTATAGGTCAGTCCACTTGGGGGGGGTCGGCTGCGCGGGGTGGGGGGCACCAGAGGCTCAGCGCACTGCCGGCCACGACCAGCATTCGAACCCCGGCGCAGGCGGGCGCAGGGCCTTGCCGCCCCATCGGGCGCGCAGGTGCGGGACACGGCCGGCCTCAGGAAGAGAGGGACGAGGACGCGGGGCAGCGGCCCCGAGGGCAGAGCCTCGGCCAGAGCCTCGCGGCACCGGAAACCCGCCCCACGGGCCCGGCCAGCCCTGGCCCGCAGCTGGGGCAGCGACCCTGGGCACACCCCCCCCCCCCGCCCGTCTACGTCCTGGTGTCTCGCCCTCCATCCCCGCTGGAGCAGCGACTCTAGGTTCGCCCCCCGGCCCCCGGCCCCGCCGCCACTCACCCAGAAGAGCAGGTTGAAGGCGAACATGAGGAACTTGACGCCCTGGAGGCAGCCGCGCGCCATGCTGCAGCGCTTCAGCTCTAGGAGGAAGATGAAGGAGAGATCCAGGTAGAAGACCACGTACTTGTTGCCCTTGGGCGACGTGTAGCGCGCCCGGGCCGCCTTGGGGCCGGGGTTGGCGTGCGGGCCGAAGAAGGGGCCGCCGTCCCCGCCGTCCCCGCCGTCCCCGGCGCCCGCGCGCCCGCGCAGACTGCTGTAGCGCCGGAAGGGGCCGCCGCGCGCGAAGCCCGGCTCCTTGCCCTCCGGCGACGGGCTGCGCCGGTACGTGGACTCGTCCGTGCTCGAGCGGCGCATCGCGCCAGGGCCGCCGCCGGGCTCAGCGCCCCGCGCCCACCGCCCCGCAACGCCGCATCCCGCCCCGGTCCCGGCCCCGCGGTGGCAGCCGGGCGCGCCGCTCCGCTCCGCCCCCCCCCGGCGGCGGCCCCGGACACCTGCCCGGTCCCCCGCGCCGCAGCCCCGGCCCCCGCCCCGCGCCCGCCCGCCAATCCGCGCCGGCCCCGCCCCCGAGGACCCCTCCCCTCCTCGCCGGCCCGGCCCCCGCCCCGCTCCCTCCGCCCCGCCAATCCGCGCCCGCCTCACCCGCGCACGCCTTCCCACTTCGCCGCACCGCCCTGCGGACCCCTCCCCTGCCCTCCCCTCCCAGCCGCGCAGCTCCGCAAATCCCACTGCTCCGCGGGCGCCGGCCAATCGCGGCCCCAGGGCGACGACCCGACCCCGCCCTGCCCCCGGCCGCTCCGCCCGCGCTGGCGCCCCTCGCTCTCGCCTTCCGCTGGCCCGGGAGGAAGATGCTCCCGAAGGGCAGGGGAAGCGTCGGACGGGGCCGGGGGCCTGGCGCCGAGGGCCAAGGCCCAGGCAGGTCTCAGCCCCCGGAACGAGGACCCCCCCCCAGCCTTCCGCCGCGGCCCCACTGCCCCCCGCCGGGCCTGGAGACCTCCGACCGCACTCGAGATGCAGAGCGCTATGCAAATGAAGGGTGACCCAGTTGCTTTCTGGTGATGACCTGGGGCGGCTTCGACTTGGGTTCCCCGCCCGGAGCTAGACAGCAACGTAGCCCAGAACACTCCCTGGGGTGCGCACTCTCCAGCAGCTTCTCCCACCTCCAGCCTGGGCGGGCGACTCCCGCTGGGACCCCGGAGCCCCCGCAGCTCACAGCTTGGATGGGAACAGGCCTCTGTCGGGACAGGAATCAGCCTAGGTTACCCACCCTGGGAGGAGGGCGGGGGCGGGGGTGGAGAAACCCTTCTGAAGGAGGAGAGGGGCTGCCCGAGAGGGGCTGGGGCAGGGAAGGGCAAGTGGGGAGGGTGCCTAGGAGGGTAGGTCACTCTGCAAGAAATGGGGAGGCTTTCAGACTCACAGGGAGGGGCCGGAACACACAAGAGGGCAGGGTGATCACTAGGCACCTGAAAACAGGCCCAGACCTCAACTCCCACGGCAGCTGGCTTGTTCACTGGGCCAGGGCGCGCTGACGCTCCCCTGGCCCTGCTTCTCCAGTTGAAGGGCCCGCTTCCCCAGCATGTGACAGTGCAGCCACACAGAACCCGGCACTGGTTTAATGCTCTTGAATTACTGGTAAGTTTTGAGGGGGCCTCCCATTTCATTCTGCACCAGCCTGTGCTAGAAGTCAGACCCTGCACCTCCCAGACACATCCAGCCACACTCACGTGCAGAGGGGAGAGAGCTGGGAGGGAGAGGAAGAGGGGAATGGGAAGGAGAGGGGAAGGCGGAGGGGGAGGCAGGGGTGCAGGGGAAAGGATACTGGCAAGGTGACAAATTGAGAGACTGAGTGGTGCGGGAGGCAGCAGGTCGGGGGGCGGGGGGGTGGTTGTGCAAGCAGGCTGAGCAGGACGGTCTGGAGGGCTGGGGGCCCAGCGAGGTCTGGCAGCCCTGCTGGGCCCTGAGGACCACCAGCATCAGCCCTCTGCCGCCCCCTGCAGGCCATTCCTAGACCAGCAGCTCAAGTCCTCAGAGCAGTGTCTGAATGCGGTCCCCCCCCCAGAGCAGAGCTGGCCCTGGCAGGGAGTGGGGACAGGAGAGTCCCAGAGGCCTTGCCCATGTCGCACGGCTGGCCAGCCTGGGGTTTCCCATGGCCCCCCTACCCTTTCCTCCCCCAAGTGTGCTCTGGTGTGTCTGGGCCCCAGGAAAGGGACACAACAGTGGCCCCGTGGAGAAGCAGGCAGCCGAGGGCCCCCACCCAGGCCCTGCAGAAACCTCTGCCCACAGCTCTGCTCGGGGAACAAGTGGCACCATCCAGACCCCAGCGCCCCCTTGGCCCAAGTCAGCCAGCTCCACAGCCAGTCCAAGGATGGACACTCAGGGATGTGCACATGTGAGAGCGTGGGCTCAGAGTGCAACTTGCAGCACATGTGGGCCAAGGGAGGATGCAGGCTGAGCAGGCCTCACCCCACCTCACCCCTGTGCCCCACCAGATACCACCCCCCTGTGCAGCACCCCTACAGGCCGGGGTCAGACACATTCAGGGAGGCACCACTGGGCCTCCAGGGACATAAATGAACCTGCTACCAGCTCATCAGCTTTGTCCTCCTCAAAGTGGGGGGGGGGGGGGGCAGAGGTGAGTAGGGAAGGGATGTTGAGAAGCAGGAGGCTGTCTCCCTTTGGCCTGGCTCCCAGGGCAGGGCCTCTGGGGATGAGGAAGCAGGTTGACCAAGGCTGGGAGGAGAGCAGACATGGGCAGGACTCCCCATGGAGCCCCCAGGCTCACCTCTCCACTCCATCATGCTGGAGTGGGGCAGGGAGGGGGGCAGAAGGGGAGTTGGCCTGGGTTCCCACCCTAGGCCCCAACACCCCCCAAATCATCCCATCTACAAAACCCTGCAGCCACCCACAGGTGAGCGGGAGAGTCTGATCTGAAATGAAATTGAAAAATTCATCCAAGGGTCCTGGGGCCAGCTGGAATGAGGACACAGGTGCATCAGAGCTGAGGCCAGGTGGGCGCCCTGTCAGATCAGGGACCCTGTCCCCAAAGTTCAACCTCTCCCTCACAGGAGTCCCCTTCCTCCAGCAGGTGGGGGCCCAAGGAGACATGTTCAGGAGATGGCATCCGAATGGCTCGGACCGTCTGTTGCAGGACCAGGCGAGCATCCAGCTGGCAAGGCCCCTGGGCCAGGAGTGGAAGAGCCCACGAGGCAGCACAGGTTGGCCCCACTGCTGCCCCACCAGACAGTGACATACCTGGGCTTGCCGCGGGAAAGAAGCCAGGCGGTGCTCGGTTCCCCTGAAGGTGAGCCAGCAGGTGGACCAATGGTCAGTGCAGCCAAGCCAGGCTGGAGCCCTGTGGAGGAAAGATGGGCACAATGGAGCCCACATGTACCCTCTGCGGGGCTCCCAGAGGCTGGGCAGGCACCTCGGGGATGAGGAACAGCCCTCCACTCAGGACCAGGTCCCTACAAGGGCTGGAGAGGGCAGCTGGGGGACTGGTAGGGGTGCACTGCCAGACTCAGGGGACCAGAACAGGGGCAGGGGGGGTTCAAATAGGGCTTTGCTCCCAACCTTGGGTCACTCGTCCGGAGATGCCCAGGGGGGGAGGCAGGTTTGCACACAGACACAGAGACAGCACGCGTGGGGTCTGTGCGTACAGAGAATATACGTGTTCAGGGCATGTAGTGGTCATGGCATGGTCCCCAGAGGTCCAGCCTTCGGTGTCCACTCCCCCCGAGATGCCCTGCAGCCCAGCCATTCCTGGGCTCCAAGCAGATAGATGCCCTGAGCCACCAACCTCACTCTCTCCCCACCGAGCTGGCTGGTGATGACTCACCAGGCCCCTTCCCCTGCCATCAGCATTCATGGGAGGATTCTGCGCTCCCCCACCAGCCAGGGGCTCTGAGGAGGGGACCCCAAGCTCACGGGCAGGGGGGTGTCTGAAGGCATCCCAGTCAGGCCCCCCACATCTCACTCCTCAGACCAGGTGCTCCTTGCAGCCCGGGGGTGGGGCAGGCAGTCTTCTCGGCAGCTCAAGGGCAGGAAGGGACTGCAGAGATTCAAAACATCACCATGGCAGGTGTCCACGCCCCACACACTCATCCTCTCATGGGTGCCCACTGCTGCCAGTCCACCCCGACCTACGTTTGGAGCTGGCGAGAGGCCAGTGAGCAGACGGAGTTCTGCAGGTGACCTCATACCTGTCCTCCCCAGAACCTCAGTGAGGAGAGGATGCACCTGGGAGCCCTCGGCAGTCCCTGTGCCCAAGGATGAAGCATCCAAGGAGGGGTTTCAGGCCCAGAAAGTAGCAAGGGCAGTGGGGGGAGGAGGAGGGTGGCAGTGGAAGGAACACACCTCATCCACTTTCCTTGATAAGCCCCCTCTCCAGGAGCTATGGAGCCCAAAGCCCACAGCAACATTCTAGAAGCTAAAAACCATGCATCATACCCCACCATGCCCCCACACCCCAAGACCTAGGCATCGGGGGGATGGGCCTCCCAGGCAGGGCCTAAAGGGCAGATCCACCAGCAGCCCCCAACCCCCTTGGGCCCCCCAAAATGAGGAAGTCCCATAGCCAACACCAAGCCAAGGCTGGAGGAGACCACTGCCCAGCCACACTCGCAGCCCTCACCCCCAAGGCAGCCCATGGACCCTCCATGAATGACCTCTAGCCCTCCCGGCCCCACAATGCTCCTCCGTGAGTCCAGAGCCTCCCACTCCCATCTAGGGCAGCCCAGACACAACCCTGCAGTTGGGGCAGGATGCAGGGACCAGACAGGACCACAGCTGGCTCCGTCTCTCACCCAGGCCCGGCCTCCTCCTCCAGGAAGCCTCCCTCCCCATTCTCTGTTCTGGGCTTCCTTTGAATGCAGGGTCTGACAAGCCTGCATCCCCCGGAATGGTACCTGCAGCAGGCAACAAGGACAGAGCTGAGGGAGAGCTCCAAGACAAGCACACCTACAGTCCTGGGCTGGGTCTTCTTGACTCTCCAGGGCTCTGGGGTGGCGAGCAGTTGGGGGACCCCAAGGGAGCAGAAGCCATGAGAAGGCCATGGGCACCTACCTGGCCAGACCAAGGTCCCACTCAAAGAGGAACCACCCCAAAAGCCGAAACAAAGATGGGAGGTTGCCAGTGGCGTGGCGTACCCAGCTGAGAGGCAGCAGGGGCCTGGCCTGGGGGCACACACCCCAGCGGGGGCAGATCAGCGGGTAGAGGAGAACACAGCCACCTACCCGGGGCCCCAGGCAGAGCGGGCTCTGAGGCAGCTCTGAGGAGCCAGGGAGGCCCTGCCAACGCAAACAGTCCTGTGGTGTCGGCCTTCCTGCTGCTGATCCAGCCCCGCAGGCCCAAGGCCCACCCAGGCCCCCACCGTTGGGGAGGGGCGCACACCCCCCCTCCCCCACAGAGCCAAGGCAAGGCCAGCTCCCCACAGCCAAACTGGAGCCTCCGGGGCTGGGAGACACCCACTCCAGGGGAGGGGTCCCCAGTCTCTCCTGGGCCCAGCAAGGCCAACCCCCACCTCAGGGTCTTCCCCCCACATCCCTGCTCCTCCTCCCCCTCCCCCTCCCCCTCAGGTATTTCTCTGCTGGAGGTGGCAGTGGAGAGGACACCATCAGGACCCCGAGGGGGCCGCCTTTCCACCCACCACGGGCCCTGGGAGCACCCTGCCTCAGGCACCCACAGAGTGTGCCCGCCCGCCTCCAGGCCACCAAGACCCCTATGGAGCACGGCCACATGGGGCCCAGGCTGCAGGGCCGGCAGGCAGCGCTGTTCCCAAATGCCCTGAGCCCAGGCTTGTCCACAGGGTGGCCAGGTGAGGGCCAGCGAGCCTCAAGCATGCCTGCAAACACCACCAGGCCAGGACTACTACTGGTACTGCAGGCAAGGAACCCCATCTGACCCTGGGAAGGCGTCTGAGCGTGTGTGTTCTGGGACCCCACCCCACCCTGCACATCTACCCAAAGCAAGACGGGCTAGGGGCCAAGCCTGCACAGCCAGGATCGGGACCCTCCAGCTGGGCAGCTTCTGGTTCTATCCACACGGTACAGATGGAGAAACTGATGCCAGGACCCACGGGCAGGGTCCGCTGACGCCCCGTATACAGGGCAATGCTCTGGGCCAGAGCATCTCAGCAGCAAAGTCTTGAACCGCTGAGCTCGCCTTGATCCCTGCCTGCCCTGCAGTGACCCTCTTCTGGCAGGAAACGTGGCTCACGGGTTCCCAACCACATGTGAGCACAGCCCTCCCTCCCTCCCTAAGCCTCCCGCCACTGGGGGCAGGATACCCCATTCTCGAAAAACTGGCACTCTCCCTCCCCGGAGGCCTGGGCCACATCTGTGCTGACACTGCACACAGAGAGGGGAAGCAAGGGCCCCCCCTTTCCTTGCAGGCAGGCGAGGCCCCCCCCGTCCCTACTCCCCACCAGTGCCCTGGGCCCCCATGTCTCCCTCCTGCCCACCCTGAGGAGAGCCAGGCCCAGGGCCCAACTACTCCCCCACAACACACACAGAGGGACACGGCCATCCAGGGCAGAGGCAGGGGGCAGGGCTGACCTCTGAGGCTCCCAGTGTCCCCCGGTCAGGGCTGAGCGAAGACAGGGTAGAGACAGAGAAGAGGACCAAACACCCCAAGGGGCCTCGGCGCACACCTGTGTTGAGAGCATGCACACAGGCTGCGGGGAGAGGGGGCAGCCGTGATGCTCCCCATGCCCTCTCCCTGGAAATCAGGGAGCAGAGGGAGGAGCCCGGGAAGAGGAGGCCACCACCCCCCCCAAATCTACACACAGCTCACAGAATTCCAGGAATGTCAACTTGGCTCTGGCCAGGATTAGGGAGGGAGGCTCATTCCCCTCACTCTTTCGGAGTAAACAACTGCTCTGGGCAGGAGCATGGGTGGGGCAGGCCCTGGGCCCCTCCTCCAGGAAGCCTTCCACCACCACCCCCAGCTCCCTAAGGCCCACCCGCTCACAGCCTGGATCCCCTCCCCTCCACTGGGTCCCTCACCTCCACCGTTGCCAGCAGCCTCTGCCGCTGAGCCTGGGTCTGACCCCAGGCCACTGTGACTCAAGGCCCCCTATCCTGTCCCTCTGTCCGGGGACAGGATGTGCGTCCAGCGGGGGGGGGGGGGGGGGCGGCGGCGGGAGGGGCAGCTGGGAAGGGAAGCAGCCTCACTCGTGGCTCTGCACGTGGCAGTGTGGGGGATGACAAATGCACTGGGCAGCCTGTCCGGGACCCAGGCAAAGGTGGGGGCACAAACTCCAGGCAACGGGCAGCTCTGGCCAGCCGCACCCAGGCCCCAGGGAACCCTCTGGCTCCCTCCCCCTCAGCTAAAGCCAGAATCTATCATCCACCTGAGAGGGCGGGTAACTGATGCCTGGGACTCAGCACAGGCCCCACTCACCCCCAGCAGAGATCCAGAGGCCCCAGGCCAGGGAACCTGACCAGGCCCCTCCCACCAACACCCTGCCTAAGTCACAGGTGCCACATCCCCCCCCACAGCCCAGAAATTTACCTCCTCCAGGGAGCCTTCCCTGCCTCTCACTGCACACTGATCTCCCCCCAGCCTCCAGCCCCGGGATCAAGTAGCTCACCTTACCCCATTTCCAGAGACACAGCCTCACCTTCCTTTAAATCCTCTGTGGCTCTTGCCCCATCACCTCTAGCCCTACCACCTGCTCTGGCCCTAGCACAAACTTGTGGCCTGGACCTGCCCCGCAGGTATGGCCTCCAGGCCTCCATCCAGGGGTTCCTTTGCCAGGATCAGTCCACTCCCTTACACACACTCGGGCTCTCTCCTGGTAAAATCGTGCTCTTCAAGGTTCAACTCAAAAGGCACCTCTTCCATGACGCCCTCCCTGACCACCCTCTCCAGCCTCCGCCCCTTTCTGAGTCCTCAGAGGCCGGACGCCCCCAGATCACGGGTACCCAGCACAGCCTGGCCCGGGGTGGGTGCAGACCCCGCCCGCACCCCCCCCAGACCCTTCCTCCGGAGGAAGGGAGGAGGGACGCGAGCCGAAGCGGATCGCTGGGGCGCTGCGGGGAGAGGACCTGCCGCTGAGCCCGCCGCGCCCTCCCGCCGTCGGGGCTGCAGATAACTGCCCGGCCGGGACCGACACCGTGCGAGCGCGCGGGCCGGGCCACGGCTGAGAACCGGACCGCCAAACTCAGCCCCAGAGATCCCCCCCGCCCCGGGCGCGCGAGGGCAGGGGCTCCAGGCGGGGAGAGCCTTCTCCCCGGCCGGGCCAGGAGGGGCGGCGGGGAGGCTCGTCCGTGGCCGCCCGCCCCCGCGGGCCCCCGCCGGCCGCCGGCCAGCGCCTCTGTAATCCCCGCCGCGGGTCGCCGCGCCCCCGGTCCCGGCCCCGCCACTTGTTGCGGCGGCTCGGCTCGGGGCTCCAACTCCGCGCCGGCTCGGCTCGGCTCGGCCCGGCCCCAGCCCGGCTCCGGGGCCCGGCTCGGCGGCTGCGGGGAGCGGGACCCCGGCGACATCCCCACCGGCGGGCGCGGTACCTGAGCGCAGTCCGCCCGCCGCGCAGCTGTCAGTCATGCGGACACGAGGAAGGCGAACCGCCGCCGTCGGGCCCTTTCGGTCCCGCTAGGACGCCGTAGGCCGGGACATACCAAAGCGGCGGACGGGGGGCGCCGCCTGCTCCGGCCGCGGCCGCGCGGGCCCCGGGACCCCCGGCCCGCGCGGAAGGAACCCGGCCCGGCGGGGAGCGCAAGGCGGCGGCACCGGGGCCGGCGGCGCTGGCTGGGGCGGCCGGGGGCGGGACGGGGCTCCCCCCCCGCGCCATGGACGCGCCCTGGGCGGGGCCGGCCGCGGCGGAAGCTCAGCGCGATCGGGCAGAGCGGGCGCCGCGCTGCTGCCGCCATGATCATCCCGGTCCGCTGCTTTACGTGCGGCAAGATCGTCGGCAACAAGTGGGAAGCCTACCTGGGACTGCTGCAAGCCGAGTACACCGAGGGGTGAGGCCCGCACCGGGCGGGGGTGGGGAGCCGGGGTCGAGGGGTCCTCGCCTGCGGGGGCGCGGGGCGACGTCTCGTTCGCGGGTCAGGGGTTGCGGGGCTCAGGGGCGGCGGTGGGGGCCCGGGGTAGAGGGGCCGCGATCCGTGGGGCGTGGGCGCAGGGGCAGAGGGCGAGGTCGGGGGCCGCGGTGTGCAGGTGGGCTCCTGCTGGGTGCGGGGGCGAGGGAACGGCGGGCCGGCTCTCGCGGCCCTGGCCAGGCGGCGGGCGCTCGTACCAGACTCCAGGTGACGCTGCAGGGGCTTCCCCCCGCCCCCCAGGCTCTCTGCCAACCCTCCTCTACTGACCTGCTCGCAGGAAAGCGTTGCCACCACCTCGCCCCGCCTTGCAGTTTAGGGAGAGGAGGGGAGTTGGGCGTCAAGCCCCAGTATCTTGGCACTTGTAGGTGTCCTTTGGGAAAGTCATGGCACCTGTCCACCTCAGTTAAGCGCTCTGCTTCCTCCCTGGCCACCTGCTCCCTAACCTCTCTCCGCTGTTAGACCCACCCCTGTCCCCCAAACCCTCTTGTCCTGTGGGACGTAGAACAAGCTTCCTGGCCACACAGCCGCCAGTAGCGGGTTGTTCTGGGGGCTTTTTTCCTGTCCCTGCCCCTCAGCACTGCAGTCACCACCAGGTTTGTCTGAATCTCTGTCCCCTCGCACAGGTGGACTCTGGGCCCCTGTGTGGACAGTCCCTTGTGCTGATCACATTTGAACCCTGGGCCTGGGGTGTTTGGGGGTGAATCGGGCAGAGGCCAGGGCTGGGCTGAGTGCTCATGCCAGGTCTTGATGAGTCTGTGAGAGTGACCAAGTGTGAGTGAACGGCTGGAAGCCTGCACAGGACACCTCCCCCCCCCCGCGCGAGATGCCCTGGGCAGGAACCAACCAACCTGGCCTCCTCTGTCCCAACTTGCCATCTCTGCACAACCGAGCAGTGCTGTGGGAATTTTCTGGAAGCCTTTAGGGGGACTGGGCTGGGTCCCAGGCACACTGACAACTCTAATTGGCTTGAGAAACCAGAGAGAGATGGCTTCCTGGAGAGACTTCCCTCCCTGACATGTGGCACGGGCATGCGGCGCAGGGCCCTCTGTCCCCCCAGGACTGCCTGGATGAACAGGGTGTGGTCTGCTCCTCTCACCACAGGGATGCCCTGGATGCGCTTGGCCTGAAGCGGTACTGTTGCCGCCGCATGCTGCTCGCACACGTGGACCTGATCGAGAAGCTGCTCAACTACGCACCTCTGGAGAAGTGACGTGTGGCGCCCGCCGCCCGCCGTGCTCACCCGGGGCGGTCGGCGCCTTGCCCCACTGCATCCTGCCCGCCGCCTGAGGGTGTGTCTCTGCTCTGGAAGGAACTGTCCAGTAAAGGTCTTTGTAGAACCATGAGCAGATCCTAACAGTTGGCCTGGCTTTGGGTGACTCCCTGCCTGCTGGTGTTTGTGTGTCCTGCCTCGTGCCTGAAGCTGCTTGGGGTGGACGTGGCTCTCGCTGCCCAGGGGGAGGGAGAGCCATCCAAGTGGCAGCCATTCAGCAGGGGTGGGGGGGTCTCCTTCTGGAGTGTGGGCTCTCACAGGTGCAGACAGCCAAGAGCGCTTGGGTTTGGGGCTCCGGGACCCTGGCACGCCCACCCCCAGGTCCTGGGTGCTCTGTAGGCCAAGCACAGAGATCCTCACATCCTCTCCCAGGATATCAAGAACCAGATTTTCTGGGCCCTGAATAGAATGCCTGCTGTGGTCTCGGCGGCCCGTCCTGAGGGTCTTACTGCCAGAAGCTTCGAGGCTCCAAGCTCAGCAGGCCCCTTCCCTTGGCCAAGTCCTTGTGGAGGGGGAGAGGCAGTGCCCAGCCTCCACAGCCAGCCCTGAGGCCCTCACAGTGGGTTGAGGGCGGCCCTGAGGAGGCTCTGCTGGGTGTCAGGGTTCGCCAAGCTCCCAGTGCCCTGGGCATTAGCATTGAGTCCCTTGGGCCTGCCCGAAGAGCTATCTGCCAGGGGCTTCTGTCCTCTTGCAGCTCAGGCTGAGGCTTCGAGCCAGCAGCTATCACCCTGGACGGGAGTCCGGCAAGCCCTGGTGCCCTCCAGCAGGCAGTAGGCAGGAGTGTGTGGTTAGGAGAGGGAGGCAACTTTCTTTGGCACCTTTTTCAGGGCAAACACTGCTGCCCGGACATGGGACATGGGGTCCTCTGAGGGCCAGTGAACAAACCTGCTGCGGGGGCAGGGGGAGGTAGGGTCTGCCCAGGGTATGGGTCCCGCAGAGCTTGGGCCTCTCATGTCGGGTCCGAGAGGCTGCCCCCCGCCTTCCCTAATGGCTACATGGGCCAGAAGGGCGTTTGGAAACAAGCAGGTCCAGGCCATTTGAGGTCTCCATTGCCTCTGGGAGGCTCGGGCCCTGCCACCACTTTTCTGTCCCAGAATGGGCAAGGTTTTTTGGCTTCTCAGCCCGCCTCAGTGTCCCTGTGACTGGCCTCCTCTCCCTGGAGTCCTGTCCATCCTTGGCTCACACGTGGCTGCCCTGGAGCACCAGGATGTGCTGTCCTGGCCCCTTGTCCTGGCACTAGGTGGGTGGTTCTGTCCACCCTGCTGGCAGGGGAAGGCCCTGAGGACCAGGACCCTGTCTCACTGACACAGCTAAGCTCACGTGTCTGTTCCACAAACATTTATTGAACGCCTATTACGTGGCACAAGCAGTTTTGGCATTTGTGATACAGCAGTGAATAAAACCCACAAGCCCCCCGCTTCTGGGAAGGGGACAGGACAAGAGCAAGTGAATTGCGGCCTTTCAGTGGGGAGAGTGGTGGGGAAGTCCCAGCAGGGCCTTAGGGCAGCCGGGGCGGGGGGGTGGGGGGGCAGCGGCACAGGACCCGCAGGACAGGGCTAGCTTGGCTTTCCCGGGAGTGGGCTGGGGGTCTTGGGGCCCGTGGCGGGCATATTCCCAGGCTCTGCCCCACCCAGCAGTGCCCCCCTCAGGCTTGCCCTGACCACCATGAGGGGGTGTGTCCGGGGGTCTGGGAGCACCCGACGGTGGGCCAGCCCCTCTGGCTGAGCGCAGGGAACACCCCGAGACCCGCCCCGCCCCCCCCCAGGCAGAAGTACTGCTTCCCTGCTGTGGGCGGGGGGGGGGGGGGGGTCTCAGGCCTTTGGTCTGCAGAGAAAGGCACTGGCAGCTCCCTCTGAGGGTAGGGGTCCCCAGAGGTCACGTGATGGCGTGGGGGGCGCACAGGGGCTTGAGAACAGCCCCTCCCTGGCAGAGTGGGGAGGGAGCAGCGTCCTGGGACCCCAGCTCCCCGGCCCTCAGTAGTGTCAGCTCGTAGTCAGGTGGCGTGAGGCTGCGGCCCGCGTGGGCACCGTCCGGCACGCTCAGTAGCGCTCCAGCTTCAGGCTCCTGTACAAGCAGCACGTGAAGATCATGCCGAAGACCTGGGGCACAGGGCAGCGTGAGCGCGGCACAGCGCCAGCCCCATGGCGTCCCCTGCACCCACCAGGGCCTGTCCCGCCCCATCCCCGCACCTGCACGCAGCCGATGCCCACGCCCACGGCCCCGATGATCCTCAGGTGCTCCTGGATGAAGGTCTCCAGCTTGGTGATGCAGCCGCCCTGGCAGGGTAGGGGTAGGGGCGCCGAAGGCGAGCGAGTCCAACCCCCTTGGGGTGTGACCACACCAGCCCCCACCCCCCCACCCCCGGGGCATCCTGGGCCCCTGGCTCCTCAGCCCCTCCCCAGGGAGCCCAGGCGCCTGCCGGCCTACCTCCACCTTGTAGATGTTGGAGGCGTGGTCCCGCTGCCCACAGCCCGGCACCAGGGTCTTGCAGCAGCTGTCGGGCACCACGCGGCCGCCGGCCTGGCCCGAGCGGATCCACTCGCTGTCCCGCCAGTCTTGGGAGTTGTTGCTGCCACAGCAGTGGAACTGCGGTAGGAACACGGCCCGGCTGAGCCCCCGTGGCAGGGACCCCCCCAGAGGTCCGGGGAGGCCCGTGGGGGTGTGCACACATCCCCACTGCGCCACCACCCACCTCCTGTTGCAGCTTGTCCACAGCACTGGTCACGCCCTCGTGGCCTGGCTGGTGGTACCGCTTGCTCATGGTGTCCTTCAGGTTCTCCTTGAGCTCGGTGTTCAGCTGGGGGTGAGGTGGTGACAGCTCCGGCTGCACAGTCTCAGACCCCCCCCCCCAGGTGGGACAGGTGGAGGCAGATGCAGATGGGGAAGAGGTTCAGGGAGGCCTCCAAGCAGCACTAGGGCCCGATGCTGGCTGGGGAGAGGGGACTGGGAGAGTCACCAGGTGGCCATGGACACGGTTGGGGACAGGGAGGGAGCTCCAGATCCCATGGACGCTTCCATCCCTGCTGTCAGTCCCCACAGTGACCCAGCCCCACCCCCAGGGCCTGATGGCCCAGTGGTCAGCTCTGGAGCATGGGGGGGTTGTGTCTGTGTGTGTGTGTGTGTATCCCTGTCTTCTTACACGGCACATCTGTGTGTATGTGTCCCTGCATGCGTGGACCTGTGTATCCCCACATGCACACGTCCATCTTACTGCATGTGTCCCTCCATGTTCCTGTCCGTCCAGGCCCCTCACCTGCTGGTAGTAGATGTAAGCCAGGATGCCAGCAATGATCTCCAGCAGAAAGATGATGAGGAGCAGGATGAAGTACTGGGGGTGGGCAGGGACCCAGTTAGGTGGGGCTGGACACAGACCTCCCTGTCCCGTGAGGACTCCTAGTGTCCAGGCACAACAGAGCAGAGCCCCCAGCCTCAGACCCCAAGTGGCCACAGAGGGCTCCAGGCAGCAGGTGGGTGCTGGCAGTCCCTGACGCTTTCCCTCGGAACTGCTGTCTTCCCTCAGTGCGCCCAGCTGGGATGTGGGGACTCGGGGCTGGACAAGTGGCCTGGGACCCCCCCCACCACAGTGAGTACAGCAGAGGCTGCAGTGTCACCCTTGAGCCCCAACAGTCCCTTCTTTCTCATCAGGGCCCCCCCAGCAGCCTGGTGGGGAGCCCCCCTCAGCTACACCCCGACTCCCACCCACCACCCCAGTGCCGGCCACGCCCTGCTAACCAAGCGCAGCAGGTTCCGCCTTTCCTTGAAGGTGGCACAGCAGCCCAGAACACCGGTCACCATGACGACAACTCCAGCCACCACCAGGATGTAGGCTGTGGCCAGGTAGGTGCCTGAGGCCAGCAAGCTGATGTAGTCACTCTTGAGGGCCAGCGTCCAGATACCCACTGCCATAACGGCCAGGCCAGCCAGCTGTGGGCAGTGCACCCTGGTCACCACCTCTGGCCCCAGGTCTGAGAGATGGGGCTGAGCTCCCAGGCCAAGGCTCCTTCAGGGACCAGGGAAGGGAGGGAGAAAACGCCGGTGGAGGCAGGGGGAGGGGCGCCCACTCCTCACCCAGAAGCAGCAGTTGAAGGTGAAGAGCAGGTACTTGAGGCAGACGGTTCCGCATGTCGCCTTCTCGTTGAACTCCCCCATCCTGGGGCTGAGAAGCGAGGGGATGTCAGAGAGCCCACACCACCAGGACCTGACTGGGAGGTCAGCCAGACACCAGTGGGGACAGTAAGAGGGGACACACATGCCCAGGCCGGCCCCTGGCTGAAGCCCAGCCAACTATCTGCCCCAAATGAAGGGCCCGGGAAGGTGTCCATAAGAACCAGGATGCTTCCTGGGAGAGCAATTCAGGAGCCTCATTCCCCTCTCCCCCCCGCCAGCCCCCGAAACCCACCCCACGCAGCCATGCTGGATGTTTACTGCCCACAGCCAAGCTGAAGGCCAGGCCCTGGAGGACTGAAGGGCCTGGCTTCCTTGACTAGAGCCCAGGACACAAGGGAGACATGGAGGACCCCAACCATTACCGGCTGACTCACCCCTGCTGGCAGCCAGGGTAGGAAGCCCCAGCAGGCACCTCAGGGTGAGCTCATGCAGGCCCCACCCCCCCCCACACACACACACACAACATTCCCGGGGCTCCACGTCACAGGCTGGCAGGGCCGCAGGCTGGCAGGAGCCTACCCGAGGCTGGAGGGGAGGAGGCCACTCAGACTGATCTGCCCCTTACTAGTGACGTGGCCTCAGGGAAGACCCTCAGGTTTTTGTTAAAGGGAAGGCCTGCCTTCCTCTTCACCAAGGTGGGAAGAATAGAGCAGAAACACATTCCCCAGACCTGGGGGGTACTTCCTCAGTTGGTCCTCATTAATGGAAAGGGGACAGCCCCCCCCCCCCCCCCCCCCCCGCAGCAAGACAAGAAGCTACAGGCTGTACTCCTCCCCAGTGGCACCCGGGGACACCCTGCCTGCTCTGCTGTGGGGTGTCTGCACTGGGGAGGGTGGGAGAGGGCCCTGGGGCACAAAGGGCAGCTGGACGCCCCAGGCCACGTTTCCAGACAGGCCCAGCACCACCCAGAGCTGAACTTTCACCCGCCCCACCCAGCACTCACCTGGCTGCTGGGGGCTACGGGTTCCTCCGTCAGACAGGTGTCCGGAAGTTCCCTAGGAGGCTCCGCTAGAAGGGCAGGGACGGGTTACAGGTCTGGCCCACGCTGGACAGGCAGGATCCTGTCACCCTTCCTTGTGGCCGCTCCTGGCAGCGGATCCGGAGCTGGGCTTCCAGAGTAGACAGCGTCAACTCCCAGCGGCAGGGAGGGGAGAGGCCAGGCCCGGTATTCTGGTCTGGGCTTGGGCGGGCAGGGCAGAAAACATTTCTGGACAGTGTGATCCTGGGAGGGGAGGGATCACTCACTCCTCCAGGCACCCCACCCTGGGCCTTCCTGCCAGACCCGCCCCTGTCCCTTACCCCACCACGCAGCAGTACCTGCAGCCCGGGCAGAAAAAAGACGCAGCCCCGTACCACGGGGCTGGGGGTATGGAAGCCCCACGCGCCCGCAGGCTGGCCCTGGGCCCGTGGAGAGGTCCCGGCCCCCGCGGCCCACGCGCGGACTACCGGCGGGGGAGGGGCCCCTCTTTCCGAGAGGCCTGGCGGATGTGAGCCCCCTGGGAAAGCGCCGGCCAGAAATAGTTCCTCCGGCCTGGGACAGAGCGGCCCCACCCCAGCCCCTGCAACTCAGCGGGGCCGTCGGCGGCCGGGGCAAGACCCGGGGCCCCGCACTCCGCTCCAGCCAGGCCCGGGGAGGCAGCCGCGCGTCACCGCGGTGAAGCCGCCGCCCCTGGCCGGGCGAGCCGACGGCGCGCCCACTTGCACCCAGGCGGAGGGAAGGGCACCAATGTCCAGAGACAATGACGAAGGTGCTCAGATGGGGCCGAAGGGGCCGCCAGGCCTGCGCGAAGACCCAGGAGGCGCCTAGCCCCCGCCCCGGGGGCCCCTCCGCCCACCCGGCTCCCCGGCGTCCGGCTCCCTCCGGAGAGGGCCGGCGCGCGCGCTGCTGCCGGGTCGGCGGACCGGGCCTCCAGGCCCTCCCGGCCCTCCCGGCCCTGCCTCCTGGCGCCTGCAGCCGGGCCTCGCGGTCCGGGCCGCGCAGGGCCCCGGCACACCCGGCCCCTCCCGGCCCGCCTGGCCAGGCGGCGGACTCACCGGCCACGCGTCCGAGTCCCGCCGGGCGGCGACGGGGGCGGGGGCGGGGGGGCGGGGGCGGGGGCGGCTCGGAGCGCTGAGACTGCACGGCGGGCTCGGGGCCTGCGAGGGCGACGCGCTCCGCCTACGATCCGCAGGCCCCGCCCACGGCGGCGGGCGCGGGGCAGGTCCGAACAGTGCGCCGCACGCAACGGCGGCGCGGCGGGCGCCTCAGCCGGCGCTGGGCTGGGGGTCCGCCCGGGACTGCGCAGGCGGGCGTGCTGCAGCCCGCGGGCGCCCGTAGCCCAGCCAAGGACTTACACCCTCGGAGACGGAGGAGCTGGGCTGGGGGCGGTGGGGGTGGCGACGGCGGCCAGCCCGGCCAGGGCTCCGGACTGTGTCCAAGACCCGGCCCTTCTCCAGGCCCAGCCCCGGTTCTGGTTCTCTCCTCGAAACCCAGGGACCACCGGAGGCTGCAGGGTCGGCAGAACAGATGCTGGCCTTGGGGGAGGATCTGGAGGTGTGATCAGATGCAAGAGTGGGGTCTCTTTGGGTGCACTATGGAGGACAGCCTGGAGCGGAGGCCTGGGGTCCCTGCCAGAGACAGTTCAGTCTGGAAGGCATCGGTCCTGGGAGGGGTGGAAAGGAGTGAGGGAAACAGGGCAGAGCCTGCTGACCTGGGAGACTGGGAAACCGACAGTGGGAGTGAGGAGGGGGAGGGGACTCCCAACCCACCAGGCTCATGCCCAGACCCAGGCAGGGTTGGTCAGAATCTGCAGTCATTTGGAATAGTTCTCCATGGACAGTGGGCAGCACTCGTCCCCAGCTCCTTGCCCAGGGTTCATGATTCTGGCCAACAGCTCCCAGCTTCCCAGGGAGGGTGGAGGGAGGGGCGTGAGCAGTGGCTGCAGACCCTTTTGGAGGTCCCACTCAGGGCGGGCTGGTTTGGGGAGGGGGTGGTCAACTGAGGCCAGGAGCAGGCTCCCTAGTGAGACAATGGGCCTCAGTTCCCTTGTTCCCACAGAGGGGCCCCTTGGGGCTTCAGCTTTAATGGACAGCGAGGTCTTGAAGGCGTGACCAGAGACATGCGGGGACATCTGCAGCCCCAGCACCACAGGGCCCTGCATCTGTGCTACACACTTGCCTTGAGTGTACCATGGACACCCCATGTGTGTAGTGTGGCTCCCGCCCACATAGGCCAAGGAGGTCACAGTGCAGTCGTGGACTTTATTAGGAGGAGGGCGTTTTTCTGCTGGTCAGAGATGGGTTTGATGGGATGGGGACAGCATGAGGACCAGCAGGGAGGCACAGGAGACTGACCAGTCCTAAGTTAGTTCCTTCATATCTGCATGCAGGCAGGTCAGACAGTCCACTAAATAGAGCCCACATCCTGGATGGGCAGCCCCTAGCCACGACGCACCACCTTCAAGGGGCAGCTTCTCCGAGTAACGCCCAGGGAGTCTCTTGGGGATGGTCAGCGGGCACTGGGAAGGTGGCCAGAGCCACGTCTCGGAGGGCGAGCCCAGCTGCAGCAGCAGCAACAGGTGGGCCCCGGCAAGCGCGCCACGGCCAGAGCTTTCCTTCGACCACTGCCCAGCCACTTGGCCTCACAGGCGTCCCTCTGGTCCCGTAGCCGCGTGTTCAGCTCCCTAGGAAAGGGGAGTCCACCACCCTAAGAGGTCTCAAGAGGCAGCATTCCTGGGTGGGGAATACGGGCTCTGCTCTCCCTCAGACCAGAAGAGGGGTGTCTGGCTGGGGCTGCCGCATGAGGGATGGAGGAGAGACACGAGGAAGGACTTCCTCCAAGTGGGATGAGGCAGTGGTCAGGAATGTCGGGAGCTAGGAGCTCCCGAGCTGTGCCAAGCCCCTTCCCTCGTGGGGCCTGAGCCAGACCGCACCTGAGGAGCTCCAGTTGTCGCAGGAGGCTGAGCTTCTCTTTTTGCATGTTCCTCGAGACTGTGGCCACCTCTCTGCAGGAGGGAGGAGGTGACCGGGATGCAGGGAGGCTCGTCGGGGCGTCCCACGGCCCTAGCCTACGCAGACCCTGAGGGCGGGGCTGGGACATGGGATGGGGATGGAAGTGGCCCAGACCTGAGCCCCAAAAGCGATCCGGTCCTGCCTCGCCCGCCAGCCCGACCCCCTCCCCGGGCCCGCCCCTGAAGGTTTGCCTCCTCCCTGCTCCCCCAGGCACCGTAGGGTTTGCTCCCGGCGGCCCTGCACATCGCCCTTCAGTCTCCGGAGCTGCTCCTGCGCCCCCTCCAGCTGAGTTCTCAGCGCCTCGTTGGCTAGCCACAGCTGGGCGCTCTGCGCCTGCGCCTCCCGCTGCTCGCTGGCCCGGGTCTGCAGCTGCTGTTCCAACTGGGGAGTGAGGGGGGGATCAAAGCTGGGAAGGATCCCTCCACCTCTTCTTCGGGGTGCTGCGTTTACCCCTGACTCCCAGCGGTTCCAGGGCCGGGGGCACTGAGGTCCAGGGGACCTCAAGCACACCGGGGAGTGTGTGGGTGACGGTGGGGACAGGGCCCTGGGCTCGGCGGGTCCCACCCCTCCCCGGCAGGGGCAGGCGGCCACTCACCTCCCGCTGTCGCAGGCCCGCGCGCTCCAGTTCCTGCTCGCGGCTCTGCAGCTCCAGCTCCAGGAGGCCTCTGCCCTCCTCCCGGGGGAGGTCCTGGGATTCGCGGAGAGCTCCTGAGCCTCAGCGGGCGGTGGAGGGGCAGGGGCCAGGGTGGGGGGTGCGGGTGGAACGGAGTCAGGGAGACACGTGCGTCTGGGATCGGGCTGCGCGGGGTGGGACTGGGGCGTCGGGCCCACCTGACTCCGCAGACGCTGGCGCTGCTCGCGAAGCCGCTGCTCCATCTCCTCGTACAGACACCGCACCTCCCTCTCGTGCTCGCTCTCCCGCCTTCAGGGGGCAGGGGGTGAGGCAGCTGCTTTGAGCCGGCCGGCACTACAGACCCCAGCCCTGCCTCTACTGCTTCCCGAAGTCCAGCCACCTGGGCCCCAGGCCCCGCCCTGGTCCCCGCCCTCACCGCCGCAGCGCCTGCTCCAGGCTGTCCCGCTCTCGGGCCGCCTCCTCCAGGCAGGCCGACGCGCGCATCAGAATGTCCTCGAAGGAGCCCAGCAGCTCGGGTCGCTCGCGCTGCAGCCGGGTCCAGAGCGTCCGCACCGCTGGCTGCCTGCAGGGGGAGGGCAGGGGCTGAAACTGAAACGGGGGCTCCCCGACCCCATCCCGAAGGGTGAGCCCTCTGGAGACTTGCAGCCCTGGATAGCCCAGCCGCGTTTGCTGCATGCGGGGTACCCCTCTTGTGGGTGCTTCTGCCCCTGCCTGAGGTCGGTGTGTACGGGTCTTGTGGGGCAGCGAGGTGTATACACACAGGGCTGTGCCCAGCGCCTGCCCTTCTTCCCACAGCCTTGTCGGCTGCCCCCTGAAATGCAAATTCTGCGGGAAATCACGCTCAGCCCCTCCCAGGTGTCACAGCTGACAGAGACCGACTGGGCCAGTCCCAGCATAGGGACCCTGAACTGGGACAGACACGCGGGCGACAAGGACAGGCAGCGTGCAAAGGGGAGATAGTAGAGGAGGGAACTGGGAGCCGCCTCAGCACCAACTCACTCGCCGAGGGCTGGGGCCACCCCCAGCTGCTCCAGCACTTCGCAGAATCTCTCCTCCTCCTCTTCCTCCAGGGAGTCCTCAGTGCCTTGCACATCTGACCAGCCTGACTCAAAGGTTTCCTCTGGAGCCTGGGAGGGCAGTGCACCCTGGGCTGACTCCACCCCCACAAACTTCCCTGTGGGCATGGGAAGGTGAGATTACCAAGGCTGTGGGTTAGTACCCCGCTCGGCCACCACTCACCCCCCCGCCGCCCCACACACACATCCTGTCCTTATTCTGAGCCCAGTTTCCTGTTTTTCTTCCTTATTCTGGCCTGATTCTTGGTTTAGGAATGGGAGATAACACCCACCCAGGGCCAGAGTGGAGCAAGCCTGGCTCCCATCCCACCGGGGTTTGGCACGGAAGGGAGGGGGTCATGGAGCAGGAGGGTCAGCTGCACACCTCTGGTGACATCTGGTGCCTGTGTGTATTGATACCAGTCCGAGCTCCGCAGGGAGGCCATGGCGAGGCACAGGCCGCCCTGTGTGTTGGGTGTGGGCCCCACATGTGCCGGTGGAGGGTCTCTGCGCAGCGGGGTGGGGGGGAGGGGGGCCTCGGGGACTCAGCTCACCCAGGCCGAGGCAGAACTCCCAGGCGGTGAGGAAGCCTGTGTGGGCCTGATCCAGGCTTTCGAACACAGCCTCTAGCTGTTCAGGTGTGAGGGGCAGGTCGCTCTGCAGACCCTAGCCAGGCAAGGATGGCAGGGCTGAGCTGCCAAGGTCGGCCCCTGGCTGGGGCAGCCTCCTGGGACTGGGGATTCACCTGCAGGTCATGCCGAGTGATGAAGCCCTTGGCGTCCTTGTCACAGAGCAGAAACAATTCCTGGGCCTGCTCTAGCATCTCTGCCCTTGGCCTCCCGGCGCTCCCCTCCTCCACTTCCTTCTCCTCCTGGGCCTCCCCAGCACCGGGCTTCCCAGGCCTGGCCATGGGAGCGGGGGTCTCTGCCATGATGCGCTGTGAAGTCAGGGAACAGTCAGGGCCAAAGCAAAGCTCAAGAGAGATGAGAGGGGGAGAGAAGGGAAGGTGGAGTGGCCATGGGTGGGGACTAAGCTTGTAGGGAGCCGTGAGTGCACAGAGGGGCCATCTTGCACCAGGTGGGAAGCCGGGAGAAGGCATGGCAGAGGTCCAGAGAGGAGTGTAGCTGGGGGCAGGACAGTCACTTGGGGGTAGTGCTGCAGGCAAGGGGTGTCATGGATGCAAGTGAAGCAGGCTCCAGGCCTGTGGGCTGTGGGGGCTGCCCAGGGAGCTAGAGGCTGTGGCTTAGAGGGCAGCCAGTGCAGGAGGAGAGGAGCTGGGGGAGGGCAACCTGGGGGCGGGGGGTGGGGGGAGGCAGCTACAGAAAACCTCTGATGGAAAATAAGGAGGTGGGGGCTCCTGGCAGCTGAGGGGAGAAAGCTTGGGTGAGGGACTGGCCAGCGGAGGGGAGGAGCTGAACAGGTCCTAAAGCTGGACACCTGGAGACCTGGCTGACCGGGCGGGCCAGCGGGAGCGTTCAGCCAATCCTGGCTAAGTCTTTAGCCCCTGAGTCTGGGCCTCAGAAGTCCTGGCCTCCAGCCGGCTGGCCGACGACTTAAGCTCCTCCCCTTCTGCCGCAGCCCCTCCCACCGGGCCCCTGGCCCCAAGGGTTGCAGATGCAGGGTTTCAGCCTGGGACGCCGATGCCTTCCATGGCCCTTGTCAAGAACACGCCAGGTTCTAGGCTTGATGGCCCTTCCCCCAAGCAATAGGCACTTGTGGTCCGCCAGACTCGCCCCCTCCAGTTCGCGGAAACTTCGCGGGGCCTCCCTCCCCGCGGGGCGCCCCGCCCCTAATCAGAGCCACCTGTCGTTCCCACAACGCCCTGGTCCCGGATTTCCCAAAGCTAACCCCCAGTGTGGCGACATTTCCCCCAACCTGGGGGATTCTGGGATCCTCTCCTCTCAGTCCAGGACCTTGATTTTCTCTCCCGCCCATATTATATTCCTGGGGCGGCGCGGCGGGGTGTCGGGGCGCAATCTCCAAAGAGTGCAGGTCTGAGGAAAGGCGGGAGGAGGGGACTGGGGGGCTCAGGACGTCTCCCCCTCGCGCCGTCGCCTCGCCCCGGCGGGTGCCCCCACCCCACCCCCCGCGGCTCGTGGGCTCCCGGGACTGGAGGTCCATCCCAGCCGGAAGCTGTGCGGTGCCGGGCCGGGGAAGCGGGGAAGAAGGGCCGGCCGGGCCCGCGAGCCGTTGCGCCCACCGCCGCTCCGCTCCCCAGAGCCCCGGCGTCCCCGCCCGCCAGACGCGAGGGTCGGCGCGCCCCGCGGCCACCGGGGACGGGGCGCGGCGGCGGGACCCCCGAGGCGCTTACCTGCGAGCCGCCCCCCGCACCTGCTGCGCGGCCCGCAGCTCGTCTGGAAAGGCGGCGGCGCGCGGGGGGCGCGGGCCCGGAGCGGCTCCCGCTGCCGTGCAGGAACTGAGACCCCGGCGTGGGCCGGGCCCGGGCGGAGCCGCCGCCGCTACCGTCCCAGTGTCTCCGCCTCTCGGCGCTGCCCGGGAGGCCCGGCTCTCGCCGCACACCTCGCCCGGCCCCCGCTGTCCCGACTGCGCGGAGCTCACGGCCGGGCGGAGATGCCCCCGCTGGCCTGGGGACCCTTCCCGAGCAGGGCTAAGGCGAGGAGGGTGGGGCTGTCCTGAAGATCCGGATTTAAGGCGCCAAAAAGTGTGTGCAGGACCAAGCCAGGCAGGAGACAGACCAAAATATCTTCAATGGTTATCTCTCGGAGTGGGGGGCACTTAACTTTCTTGCCTATGCTTTCCCAGTTTTCGTCTTTCCCGTGGTTAAACAATTAGCTCGTAATATATTACAAAATGGTATTTCAATCAGCGGCATGATAGCTGTGCAAGTGTGGGAGCGAGTGAGTTGGGGTGGGGGCAGAAGGAGGCCCTCTCCTCCACAGCCTGCCCCCAAGCTCTCCTTTTGAGGCACAGCCCTGACTTGGGTTCCCTTTGCAGGAGCACTGGGAGAAGGTGCCGGGTGGGGCTGGCATGGGACCTTCCTGCTGGGGAGAGAAAACCCATTCTCTTGCCAAAGGTCCCCCTCCCTAGCCCCAGCCCAGCCCCTGTACCCACCTGGAGGGTGGTTGGGGGTCTGGAAGCCTCTGCTTCTCCAGGAGCCTGGGATCCTGCTGAACTAGAACAGGTTGGGCCTACAGGACAGGACCTTGAGAGCCAGAGGGGGACGGCTCCTGGCACAGACACGTGGGGACCTGCTGAGCCGGCTCTCCCAGTCCTGCAGTCCCACCGTTATTGTTGGCTGGGGGCTGCCACCACCTCCATAGCTGCCTGATACCTTGGTCAGGACTAAGGGCTCTGGACAGCCAGCCAGCCACCCAGCTCGCTCCAGCGCCCCTCACGCATGGGCCCTTTTGGTCACCAAGAAGGGCTGCATCCCCTCAGACTGTCCAGATCAGAGGACGTTTTCAGGAAACTATGTCTCCCACGGAACAAGGTCCAGCCTCCTCGGGGTCAGACCTCACCCAGCCTGACATTCCATACTCCTCCTATATATTGGCAGGAGACTGGGTACCCCAGGAGACTGGTGGGGAAGGGGGCAGGGGATCGAGAAGGTGTGTATGCTGGCCAGTGAGGTTTGCCAAGGGGGGAGGCCCAGCGCCTTGCGCCAAATGCCCAAAGTAGAACAGGCCCCGTGTCTCCCAGGTCCTCGGTGCTCAGCTGCGGAACCCCACCCTCCATAGCCATCCAACCCTGAGATCAGCCCCACACCACCTGCGTCACCATTGAGTGGAAATGAAGACGCCACCTTTTGTAAACATTTCTTAGTTTTTATTTAGCAGGGATCTTGGTCCCAATATTTCCGCTGGCCCTTGGAAAGCTGTGCCTAAGGGCCAGCCAGCAGACCTCAGGACGAAGTGGGGCAAACGTATGGGCCCCAGCCAGAGAAGTGCGCTAGAACCCAGGAGGCCCACAAGGGCCTTTAGGGGAAGGCCGCAGGCCTGGCTGGCAGGACCGAAGGCCGGGCTCAAGGAGCACAGGGCCCCTGAAAGCCTGACCCGAAGGAGAGACATTGGCCAAGGAGTCACACACGAGTGAAGGAGGCAGGGACTGAGCCCGGGCATTTATTCCATCTGCTTTGGTGAAAATAAATAATTCTTCACATATGTTCTTCAGCAAAACATGACAAATGAGGAGGGAGGAGCAGGTGCAAAGTTCTCAGGGGTAATACTGCACTGACTTGGGGGCCCCAGGAGGTGCAGCCCTGCCCTCCTCCCCAGTTCTGGGGTGGGGCCTGAGGGGGAGACTGAGGCACAGGGGCAGCACGTGAGTGGTTGGTGGAGGGGGTTGACAGCAAGTCCCCTTCTAGCAGCTGTGAGGGGCCCCCTCTCCTTACTGCTGCAGGAGTAATGGAGAGAGGCCCGGGAGTGGGGTGGGGGGGCCTCAGCCCGCCCCAGGGCCCCACCTCACAGGGCAGGGAAGCTGGGGGGCCCAGCCCTCAGCACTGGGGCCCCAGGGGGCTGGGGAAGGGTGGAGCAAGGGCGCTCAGCAAGGGGGCACGGTGGGTGAGAGCTGAGGGGGCGTGGGGGCAGGGCTGGCGGGAGTGCGCATGCGCAGGGCATCCGGCGGGAAGGCCACGTTGGTGCAGAGAAGGCCCAGGAGCAGCTGGCGCTGGCGTTCCTCCCACTTGGCCAGCACATCCCCTAGCGACAGGCTGTTGCGCATCCAGCTGGGCAGCGCCTGGCTGTAGGCCGTACAGGACAGCGACACAGAGGGCAGCGACTGCGTGCGGCGTAGCTCCATCTGCTCTGACAGCCTGCAGGGGGAGGGATGGAGGGCCAGAGGGCTTCCGTGGATGCCACTGAGGCTCCGGGCCCTGAGCAGACACAACAGGGAGGGGGGCTCACCTGGAGGGCAGGTGGCTGCCCAGCTTCCTCTTGGCTCGCATCACCAGGTACTGGCAGATGCTACCCGTCTGCTCCTTCATCCACCGGATGTCCTCAGGGACGTCAGGCAGCCACTCCAGCAAGCTGGGGGGACGGGAGGCATGGCCTCAGGGTCTACGGCTCGGCCCTCACACCCATGCCCGCTCTACCCCTGCCTGCGCCCCAGCTTCTGGAAGCCTCGACACGGCATCTCTACAGCCTCCCCCAACCAGTGGCCTTTTCCCCCTAGGGCGTCCATCACTCATGGATGACCCCAAAGTTCAGTCCGCCGTGCTCCCTGCCCCAAACCCCCTACTCCCCTCACCGAATGGTGAAGGACACCGCACTCTCCAGTGGCAGAGTGTAGGGCACCATCATGGCTGTGGCCAGACGCACAGGCAACATGTTGGAGAAGGTGGTCAGCAGGTCCTTGGGCTCTATGCAGGCCTCCAGCAGGGCTGGGGGTGGGACGCAGGAGGGAAGCTGACCGCCAGCTGGGGAGGCCAGGATCTCTCTGCTCCTCGGCTTTCCCCCCGCAGCCAGGAGCCCCCACCCCCCCCACCCCGCCTCCACACACCCTCATTCCCCCCACAGCCAGGAGCCCCCGCCCCCCACCCCGCCTCCACCCCCATTCCCCCTCCAGCCAGGAGCCCCTAGCCCCGACTCGGCCTCCACACACCCTCATTCCCCCCCAGCCAGGAGCCCCCACCCCCCCACCCCGCCTCCACACACCCTCATTTCCACACACCCTTATTCGCCCCTCACCCCACCTCCACCCTCATTTCCCCTCCAGCCAGGAGCCCCTACCCCCCGACTCGGCCTCCACACACCCTCATTCCCCCCAAGCCAGGAGGCCCCGCCCCCACCCCGCCTCCACCCTCATTCCCCACCCCCAGCCAGGAGCCCCCACCCCCCCACCCCGCCTCCACCCTCATTCCCCACCCCCAGCCAGGAGCCCCCGCCCCCCACCCCGCCTCCACCCTCATTCCCCACCCCCAGCCAGGAGCCCCCACCCCCCCACCCCGCCTCCACCCTCATTCCCCACCCCCAGCCAGGAGCCCCCACCCCCCCACCCCGCCTCCACCCTCATTCCCCACCCCCAGCCAGGAGCCCCCACCCCCCCACCCCGCCTCCACCCTCATTCCCCACCCCCAGCCAGGAGCCCCCCCCCCCCCCCCCCCCCCCCCCCCGCCTCCACACACCCTCATTGAGCCGCGAAGGCAGATGCTCCAGGATGCGATCCTCCAGGGGTGGCGGCAAGTGGCCGTCCCCTGGGGCCTTCCCTGTGGCCGCCTGGGCATCCTCCACATCCTCGTCCTTGGGGGGAGGTGGGTGTGCAGGGGGCAGCGCCAGCAGAGGGTTGGGCCGGTTCAGGAGGCCTGGGTGGGGACCCCCAGACGGGTGATCAGCTCTGCAGCCCGGACGACAGTGCAGAGCCACCATCCCACCCCGCCCACAGCCGCTCCTGGGGGCACCCACGCACCGTTGCGCCTCAGAAAACGCAGGCCGTCCCTATAGCCCTGTTTGCACATCTCTCG